ACTGGAATTCAAACCTTGTGCAATCAGTAACCTTTTCCTACAGATGAATCTTACCTGTAACAGTAGAAAAGAAAGCTCTTAGCACAACTCTTAGACAGTTGAAGCTTCTGTAAAACTCTCCAGAATATCTCCAACTATACACTTAGAAGCAACACTTAGGTGAAGCAACCAAGCTCAGCCAGATGTGATTGAACCGAGCCTCAAAGCTCTCTCTCCAGGTCTGGATCTCTGGGCTCTCTCGTGACTGCAGTGGTTGTTGCTAGGTGGCCATCTTGGGCCGACATGTGGTCTTCAATCAGGCTGTGGAGTCTTTTTGCTGTAGATATGTGGCTTTCCCCAGCATGGACCCGGATAACCCACACCGGTCCAGGGGGTGGTGCGGGGCAACAGGAGAGAAGCTGCTCTAAGCAGTCCCCATGTCGGGAGGTCGGCCTCCTCTACTGGTCATGAGGCCACCTTCCACGCTAGGCCGCATATGTGGAGTGTGGTATATCTTGACAGAAGTACACGAAATGGGTATCCACGAGCCCCCACTCGATTCAGCAATGAGCTATTGGTGGTACAGGACTGCAATAATAGGCAATGTTAAGCTCAGTTTTGTCAGAGCTCTCTGCCCCATGGATCAGTTTCGCACTAGGGGCCCCATGGATTGTGTGTCACCACTGCCCCTATCCCATATTTTTATATATAAGTTCAATTGGTTGTTCATTAAATAATAACCTTTCTCAATTGAGCATTGGTAATGTATTTAGTTTGTTATTTTCATGCCAGTTTTGATGCCCTTGCTTTTTCCAATTTCTCGCTATACATATTTTTACTGCCAGCGTAATATGAACCATTAAGTAAGATAGGGGTTTCTCCCATTGACGAAAGTATAAGTGGAAGAGAAGGAGCTGTGGAGTCAGAGGGAACTCTTTCCCTGGGATTTCCAATAGGAGTCTTTTGAGGTTACATTTTAGAGTATCTAACCCAGAACATGCCCACCAAATGTGGAAATGAGATCCTTTAGCGTTATTGCATCTCCAACATTGGTCAGAATGATGACTATATATTTTATTTAATTTTGTTGGAACCATGTAGCACAAGTATAAAACTTTATAATAAAGCTCGATCTGATTTACACAGTGTGTACTGTGTTTGACCCACTTTATACTCTGTTTCCAGGTTTGGATCTCAAATGATTTTAAAGGTCTAGTTCCCAATTCATTATTGGAGGCTTGTATATAAAGGTTTCATAAATACTACGAAATTTGAGTGAATGGGATATTCTAATCTGAGGATTGTGATTCTCTAAGAAATCAGTGGTGTCATTATGTCCTAAGATTTGTTTTGTGGATAAATAATTTTTTACTCTCAAGTATGTAAACACTTCACAAGAGAATAAATAGACTGCAGTAGTTGCAAAATTATTAGATTACCGTTAGAATAAAAATTAGAAACCTGGTTAATCCCACATCACCAACTACTCAAATCCATATCTCTTGCATTAATTTTCAGTAATTCTAATGGAGACAATAATATAATTCCATTTATTTGTTTACATTTTTCCTTGTATTTTTAACCGTAGTCAGAGTCACCTTAATAATTGGATTTCTTGTAATTTTATCTAATTGGAATCTTTTATCTATCCAGAAACAATCGTAAAGTATGTCTGATTTAAACTCTTGCGTTTCGATTCCCTTCCATAAGTTAGTGTTCTTAATATTTTTATCACAAGTTTAAAAATGGGATAACATACAGGTTTCATGTAAAACATATACATCTGGAAATCCCACGCCTCAATATCTCCCTGATTTCTTAAGGATTTTCTGAGAAATTATAGGTTTCTTGTTTGGCCATATAAACCTGGAGATATCAGTTTGGAAATAACTCAAAATGTTATAGCTAACTCTAACTGGAATCGTTCTAAACAAATACATTATCTTTGGGAGCAAGTAGGCTCTGGTTGATTCTATTTTGCCTAACCAGGATAATTCAACCCTACTCCATTTCTTGAGATAAATTCTAAAATCTTCTAAGAGGCTTAAATAGATAGAATTAATCAAGTCATCAAAGGATTGAGTGATCTTCACCCCCCGATAATCAATAAATCTGCAGCCCCAGTTAAACTCATACAAATCCTTAAGCTGATCCGTCTCTTAGGTGTGTAACCCGAATGTCGGTGAGAAGTTTTTCCAAGACAAGTGCACTGTGCACTGACTACTGGGAAATCTCCACTGAGCTAAATAAACTAGGAAGCAATGGGACCAGTTGTCTGAATGACAGCCACATGGGTGTAACAAGGTTAACTTATAAAAGTTGCAATTCCTATTGAAATCTGCACTATTTGTAAAATGGAAAGGGGGCTCACTCTTTACATTGGGTCTTTAGAGTGTTCCTTTAAAGCAGGGTTCTCCAAACTCCGACCCTCCAGATGTTGCTGAACTACAACTCCCATGATTCGTTAAGTGAAATAGATAGCCAGAGAAACATCAGAGTTGTAGTCCAGTGACATCTGAAAGGGCCAGAGTATGGAAACCTTGCTTTATAGAAACACTCCATTGCCATCTTGTAAAAATATTTTTAACTATGTAGTAGATATAACCTCAAAGAAAATACACATGCATTTTTTTGCATATTTTTTTGAAGGGTATATGAAAACAAAAACAACTTGCTAAAGATGCAAACCTGCTTTCTGCACCCTTTGCAAGTCCTCTCCTATATCCCAGGCCAAGATTTTCAGTCTGTGCCAGGAAATACTTGAATCAAAGGCTTCTCATTGAGAAACATTTGAGCTTGAGCCACAAGTGTGTGCGCACGTGATCACAGTTTCCCAATGCTTCTCAATGAGCTGTGTATCAGATCATTAAGACGGAGGGAAATCAGCTGTGCTGTAGCTTAGTACTTCTGCTGCTTCCGTTAGCTATGTTGAGCTAACATAAGCAGAAGAAAACCTCCCTGGCTGTCAAGGGCAGGACTGTAGCCAGGGACTCTCATTCAGTGTTAAACTGCAAGAATATCGTTTTAACGCTGAATTAAGTGACCAATTAAAGGAGAGGAAAGTGCCTATGGTGTCCCTTTAAAGATTTATAAAATAACATCACAACCAAGTTCAGACAAGGCAAAGTCAGGGAAAACATTGCAAATTGAGAGGAAAATTACAAACAATTATTTTTAATTTCTCCTCTTGTCTGTATACTTTCTCTACTGGCTTACAGGTGCAAATAACTGAGCTTATAACAACGATTGACAGGGAGCTAAGATGGAGGTCTCCATTTGCAAGATAAAAAGGTTATTGACTCTATTTTTCACACATCACATACACATATTTGTAAATATAGTGAGAAGTAAACATTATATTATAAAATCTGTGAAGTGACAGTTTTGCTAATCACTAACGTCTGAATCCTCCAGTCCAGTTTATGAAAAATAATTAATTACCATCATAGTTCACAGCTGTTGCAGGCCCTCTCTCTCCTTTTACAGCACCAATTGTGGGCATAGCAATGGATACCGGGCAAAAATACTTTTTCTCTGATGGACAAATACACAGGCATCACGTGGGATGAGATGCATATAGGAGATTAGGATGGAGACACATAGTGGACATAATAAGCGTTCCTAGGGTGGTGGCATTGGTGGGCTGAATGCCCAGACCTCTTCAGTTTTTGCAGGGGGCAGGAGGACTTTATTTTTTAATATATCTTTAATATTATACCAGGCAGCTGCTTCTCAAAGCAATTTATATAAAAAGAAAAAACAGTGATATTGTGCTCCATCAGAATACATAGGATGGAGTAGTGTCCCCCAAACGACTATCTGGAGATAGAGCTGAGTAAAATAACTTTGCTGAGTTCTTCTATATTATTTATGCAGTGTGGTGGGCGTGTATGGAATGCTGTGTAGAATGTGTCTGTATATGGCTATACATTCATTTACCTCCTGAAGAGCATTAGCAACATGTTCTTCTTGGGTAGAGAAGGGGGCACAGAACATATCCCCACCTCTAGTGTAGTGATCGGCTAGACATCACTTCCCATGTGCATCAATCAGCCTTGGGCACCCATGACACTGACACTGGTTCTCAGATTGTCCTTCCTTGCACCACTTTTGGTAGGTACTAGCCACTGCAATGTTAATCACTTCTCCTGTCAGTGGTTTTAATATTGTGGCTGAACAGTATATTAAAACAATATTATTTTATTATGGCAGATTTCTGTAGTTTCCCTTGAGAAAAGCAGGTACATTTATTTAGCATATTTTCCTTCTACCAGAGTGAATCCAGTTGAAATTTACTTCAGTTATTCACCAAAGTGAGAAATTAAAGTAAATTTAAAATTTAAATCCAAAATAGCCGAATTCTGAGAATTCTTCCAGATTAGCTACTTTGTCTTAAAATTTTAAATTCACTTTGAATTCTTACTTTAACCCTGTTAGTGTTTTATAAAGATTTAATTTATATATTGTACAACTCATTACATCCCCTCATTATTCAAACTTTCAAAAATACTTCATTAGTATTAGTAATAAATAATAAATTAACACACTTTTATTTTTATTTAATTTGTTAGCACTAGCCCAATCAGTCAGGCGAAAGAATCATCTTACATAGCAAATAATAAAGTATTCTATCATAGGGAATTCTTGTTAATAAATAGAATAAGCCACATGATCACATTCTCATACATATGACATTTCCCAGCAGCCTCAGACTTCATTCTCTGGGAGTAATGACAGATGGTTCACACATAATTATTTACTTAAAAGCTGTGCTGATTTTTTTTCCAAGCATGCTTTCATTGCCATACACATTACATGCACTGCCACACTAACCATCACTAGGCTAGCAGTGAACTGCATTGACAGGAGCCCCGCCCACTGGGCGCGATTGTCACGCCCCCTCCCTTGACGCTAAGAAAGTATTGAGTCCTGCGCGGGGCGCCTGTTCTGATTGGTCCATGCAGCTGATCCTTGTCGCTGATTGGTGCGCGGCTCAGAATTCCGTATTTCCATTGGATGGCCCCTGTCAGTGACTTCCTGCAAGTGCAGCGATCAGGGAGAGAACCCGGGCGAGGGGATGTGAGGTACCTCGAGCGGGGGAGGCTGTCGCGAGCGGGGCAGTGGACATACCACACGCAAGGTATTTAGGGGTTGTGTGTGTGTATGAGTTCAGCGTGATGTAAACATGCGGGAGCCACGTGTCCTGGGATGCTCCCCCCCCCCCTGTGCTCACCATGGTATGTGCTGCAGGATACAGACAGGGCAATGATTGCCCCATGTAGAGACACTGGGAGAGCACATCCTGCTAACTACTGGGCATCAATGCCAGCTCCCACTGCTGGGCTGATAATGGGGTATTTGGAAATTAATTAAAACTTGCCTACTTCTGGTTTCTTAAAACCTAAACTCTAATATATTAATACATTTATTAGTCAGCCTGCAAATAAAAGTTTTGTTTATTTATAAAAAAAAATAATAAAAAATAAAATAAAAATATATATATATAAATTAATTTTACATTGCAGAGCTTGAGAAGTTCAAAACTGGTGTGAATGTCTGTATGAATTTAATTTAAATATTTTTAATTGGGAAAATAAAATGTCTGACTTGTTTCCATGACTAGGAATTGTCATGATGATGATAATGGTTGATTTTTATTTTATTATTACCATGTCAGAATCATGTGAATATTGTAAACAGTCTCCATGTAGAATGTACATGACTTGTTTTAAAAAGGTTAAAGGGATATGCCACGAAGAATTAATTAATAATTTTATTTAAATGCATCATATAGAAAATATAATTTAAACAAAAAATACAATATAAATCTTGTGAATGTCTTCTAATTTTTTTCATGTTTTCCCCAGACTGTCAACCAGGAACATTACTCAAAAATCTTTACGTTAATCCATGATCTCCCACTTCCATAAACTTTAAAATTGTGGCGAATTGCAAGGGAATTGCAACATTTAGGTTAAAAAGGTGGGATGTAAAAATAATAGAGATTTATTAATTATTTTGGACTAACATTTGCTATTCCTTTGCATTCTCCACAGTGTTCCAGGTTAGTGGATAACCCTGACTGAGCATGTGCTTGTGTTCACTTACATACTTGGTAAGTCCACATTCAAGACAGTGGAGGCTACTAACATACAAAAATGCAGGCATTGTAGATTGCCCAAAAATGACGGGAGCTTAAGTGAATGGATGATAGGGGCATATTCTATTGCATTAATACCTCCAAGTGTAGAAGTGCCATGAGTATCCTGGTTAAAGTATGTGGCAAGTAAGACTGAGACAGGGGAAATTTTTTTCCCCTTCCAAATAGTTTTACACATTGTACACCCAAACCTGCACTATCCTACACTTATCACTGTAGATAATATTTAGAATCATGACAATAAAGACATGCTTTGACAGATATACGCTACAATAATATATTCATAGCATATGTATACAGTGAATACAAAATTACTTTTACTAATATAATTCAAACAAATAAAACATTTATTGCAACTGAATATATTATAATAAAATAACACTTAGCTTATAAATACAGAGAGTTGAAAAGCTGTACAACGCAAAATTCCTCCTTTGATGTCACGGAACCTGGTCTTATTCTGCAAATCAGTTATAAGCCAGTGAGACAGTACTTTTGGTGCTTTCTCTATACATATTCTCTATCTATGGTGCTTAGAGTTGCTCTTTAAAGGGACACTATAGTCACCCAGACCACTTCAGCTCAATGAAGTGGTCTTGGTGCCAGGTCCCCCAGGTTTTAACCCTTCAGATGTAAACATAGCAGTTTCAGAGAAACTGGTATGTTTACATTGCATGGTTAATCCAACCTCTAGTGGCTGTCTTTCTGACAGCAGCTAGAGGGGCTTCTGCAACGCTGGATGCGAAATTCACATTTAGCGTGCAGAACGTCCATAGGAAAGCATTGAGAAATGCTCGGGAGCCGACGTTGGAGGGGGAGGAGAGGTCATCAGCGCCGAGGGAGCCCGGTGCTGGATTAAGGTAAATAACTGAAGGGGTTTTAACCCATTCAGCGCTGAGGGTAGGGGGCTCCTAAGGATGCTATGGTGTCAGGAAAACGAGTTTGTTTTCCTGACACTATAGTGATCCTTTAAAGTATTTTAATCATTGAGATAGTATTGTTTTTCAAATTATGTATATTGATTTATTTTTGTTGAGAAAATCCAGCTTTATATCACACTCTACTGTTATGTGACCAATTGTCTGCTGCAGTGATTGTTTTATATGAATCTGCAGCACAAGGCAAGTTAGGTTGGACAGCTGTAAAAAAGTGAATTTGTCTCAGAAAAACAAAAAATTATTGTACATCATTTTTAAAAAGTAATTGAGTTTCATTAGATATAATAAACTTTTTTTTTTTAAATCAGAAGTGAAAATTTTACGACAGTTATCCTTTGAGGGTTTATTTACTAAACAGAGAATTCAAAGAATTCAAAAGTAATTTTGCTATTTAAGGTCAAAATAGATAAACTGGAAAAAATTCTCTAAGCCAGCTTTAAGTTGAGTTCACCTATAGCGGCCTTAAATTCGAAATTCACATTGAATTAACTTTGAATTCTTACTTTAGCAAACAATCATTTTAGTGTGCATAGTTACAAAATAGGTGATCAGTATATGGCTATTTCCACGCGAGAAAGTGCAAATAGGTACATGCATGCAGCTCCCCCTGCTTTCACTTTAAAAATTCATACATCTACTTAAAATTCTTAGTAAAGTAAAACCACTCAATGTATTTAATCTTTGAAATGGTGCAAGAATCATATCAACGTCACATTCAAAAATACAGGATGTAAAACAGGCAGATAACTGTAATTTTATCTTAAATTTTTCAGAAAATATTGAATCCTATTTACATCATGACACAAATTGTAATTTTCTTTTTCATAACACCTTCACATACAGTACACATGTAATACCAGATATTGCACAATTTTGGGTAAACTTGCTTCTGCTGTCAAATGTTACCTTAAATGATAGGTGTAGGTTAGTAACATACCTGGGAGGAAACACCATATGACAGATTATTAGGTTGGCTGACCTCATTAATCACTTTAAAAATGTTGCTGTTACACCAGTCAAGCTTTTGAGCTTTACGAGTCAGAGCACTCTGATCGGATCAAATCAGAGTGCTCTGAGTCAAATTGCACTGTGTGGGAAAATTTTATAGGGCTTTCCCCGCCCTGCAAACTCAGTTTTTTTTCAATGCAATGTTTTACTTTTTAAAAAAAAATTAAAATATATTTATAGTTCGATGCAATCTTGTGGATTTTTTATTTGTTTCTTTTATTAAGGTATGGTGGGTAGGTAGGGTATTTTTTATGGGGTGGGTCTTTCGGACCCCTAGTCCTTGGAGGGGGAGTTGTGACTAGGGATTGGGGGGGAGTATTATTAGCGATTTGCGGCAGGTAGGACAGTGGTCCACCCCCAGTTTTATTATTTATGGAACCCATCCCCAGCCTTAGTTTATTAGTTCCCACTCGCAGGGCACTGTGCCAGGTCCCCCTTTATTGGATTAACGACTGCCCAGTCGCATGTTTTTGTTTTTTTATAACAGCATGCAGCCACCGTATAGTAGACATTCCTCTATGTGCAGCGGGGCAGGAGGAAGGATTTAACCTCCCTTATACTAATATGGGGGTCATATTAATCCCCCATAGGATGAGTAGGGAATTGGGATTGGGCTTCTATTTTTAAATAGCACAAGGAGGGAGCCGCGAGCAGGTAGCTCCCTCCTTGTAACTCGAACGAATTGTGCCAACAAAATTTTGTCCAGTGAGTAATTTGTTTAGGCGAATGGACAAATAGCCCAAGTCTACTATCAGTAGAAATGACACATGAAGGTCTCTCAAAACCATTGAGGAACGACATGAGAGATGAGCATTGCGAGAGAATTTTCTGTGTCAAAGGAAATGGAGGTTTTTGTCACATTTGTCAAGTGTTGGAATATTACGTAAGACAAAGTAGGGACTTTGTCTTATGTTTTAAAGAGAAATAGATTAGAAATTAGTAAAATAAGAACAGATTGAGACAGAGGAAGCAATAGGAGGAAGGCAAGTTTTAGGTGACAGTCACTTTAATGGTGCTGCACTCATAAGAGTGCAACATAAATTCACCAGCTTGGTAAAAAAATCTTTATTGTAAATTGATTAAACCTTTTTAGTGTTCTTGGACTTACTCACTGATTATCTATAATTGAGCCCAGCAGGTGGCAGGCATAAAGTGATGGCTGCCTTTTACTTTTTTGGGTTTTTTTTGTAATGGAATAATTGTTACAATCCGTCCTAACTTTAAATACCCCTAGTACTAGTTAAAAGCATAGTATATAGAATGATAGAAATTGTTTCTCTGTAATCAGCAGGGGAAACATATCACATGAATTATTCCATTGAAGAAAGGTCTTGATTACTTTACTTTCTAGAGTAAATTTAAATGTTTTTAAATAACTTTTTACTGAGTCTTAATCTGTGGCTTGTTCTAACCACTGTAAAACCCTGTTTAGTAATATTTTTTCCAACATATTAACTTGCTGTTTTTTCTTTCTGCTTTTTCCTTTTCCATTCTTGAGTTTGGATCAGTTTCATAATGTTGTTTTGAGATGAGTCCTTCATATATGGTTAAGAGTTTAGTAATTATTCTTTATTTACAGTGATTTGTCCACCACAAGCTCTAAAGGCAAGAGAGAGCCATTATGACCACAGAAACCTTTGTGAAAGATGTGAAACCTGGACTGAAAAACCTGAATGTTATATTTATTGTCCTCGAAACAGGTGGGTTAACACTTTCATATCTGAAAGAAAAAAACACTCTGCAGTCAATATGTAAATGTTTGCATTGCACAAACCGTAATGTACTCAAGAAAATGTTATTTAGGTGGTACATTATTTCAGAACAGCTGACTCATATGTATGCTTCTACTCTATGCCAATTTAGCTGTAGGAATTGTGGGTTAACTGTTTCCTTAATACATGTATGGTAGGCTTGTCCTTTGCTTACATATTTTTGCAAGGCAGTTATTCTTAGTCTTCCAATTGAGAGTATTAAATTTGCCATTTCACTGGGTACTCAACACTTTACTCAGCAAAATCCATCTGACTTATCTTGCTGGCAGTGTTTCTTTTTTTGTCAAACTGTTTTTATTGAGATAGTTAAAAGAGCATTATAGAATAAAAAATATAGGAGTTAAATCAGATGAACTTAGGTGAGGCATGTAATAATAATGCATTATTAAACAAAGTCCATCGTAAGTTAGACAAAACAATCAAATTAGTAAAACTCAACAAATGAAGGCTCATCGTACCTGTCCAGCCAGAAATACAGAGGAGCAACTGGACAAGATTAATAACTGTAGAAGTGTTAAGTTTTTTTTCACGAGTGAGAACCACTGGAACCCAAGACATCACTGCAGCCGACACACCGTAAAATTAGAATAAAAGGTTGAAACAACACATGTAAACATAAATAAGATAGCCTCTACAAATGTAATGTCAGGCTGTACAGCAGCCTATGTAGGTAGGTAAGTCCACTATCCGCTGATCCGTGCCACTGGGCAGTGCATGGGACCTGCAGGGTGAGATCTAATAATAAGCAATAATTATGTATTTACGTTATTTCCCTGTAGAGGTACTTTTACAAAATAACAAATAAAAGTTCTGTCAGCCAGCAAAGTTCAGTGAAACTGTACACTGGGTTACACACGGGTGTGTGCGCACGCGCTCCTTTAAGACCCTGAAAACATGTGAAAATACAAAGCACGAGTTGCATTGAATGCTCGTTCGGTCACCTTTAATTGAAAATAATCTTGTGCTTCAAAAATTTTGCGCAAATTGAAAATAAATACCAAACACACTGACTCGAGGAGTTGAAGAGACAGGGAAAATAGAAACAGAGGCTACTCTATGAGAAGCCTCTGATTGGTCAATTCACCGTGAAGTGATAAGTCACATCCTGTGAAAAGGGGGAGGGCTCAAAAAGGCTACAGTCATAAGAACTGCAGCGTTTATAAGCTGTTTTATGACTATACCCCCAATGATAACTAAAAATGCATGCCTCCAACGATAACTAAAAATGCATGCATTTATTCATTAGGGGTATATCTCCTAAACTGGGGGGGTGCTTAATTATTTTTTTTATATTTTTTTTGGTCCTTTAACAGCAGTGATGTAGGTCGAATCCCCCAGGCCTCTTTGTAGGCCAGCATCTTCAATCCATCTTAAATATAAACCTAATATGTATTCTAATCCCAATCCTAAAGAAACACTATCGGGTCAAGAATATAAATGTGTATTCCTGACCCTATAGTGTCAAAAACAGTGTTTAGGTGACCTGCCCCCACTTACCCCCTTAAAAAGCTGTACAGCGTGGGTGTGTAGTTTCTGGCTCCGCCCCCGCCTCGCCTCCTTGGCTGAGATCATCTCAATCTCAGCCTATGGGAAAGCATTGGATTGGCTGAGATTGTCCATTCTGATGATCTCAGCCAAGGAGGTGGACAGTCCGATTTCATTGTGGATTAACAACCATTTATTTGTCTTATTTATTTTTTTGAGAAGCGGCATTTAAAGACATCTACTGTTTTGAAAAAATAGCATCTCTAGACAGGCAACTTTAATCTTTATTTTGCTCTGTTGTAGATTAGATTAGATAAAGATTTCTTATGTGCCGTTGTAGTTTGTACAGTCCTGGTAAATGGTTACTCCAAGCATCATGACTTATTTTGGTGTTTTGAATTGGTTATATTGCAAGGGACCGGTATGTACAGAGTTTCAGTATGGAACATGGTACATACTGAGATAGTTAATGTTGCTGCTGCAGGTGTAACTCCACTTTGGCAGCTCTCATCAAAACCCAGAAAATGTGTTTCCTTCTTGCTGATGTTTCTCTGCTCAGCCAGTGAATGAACTGCAGTATCGGTTTACAGCTTCTTCACCTGTACAGAAGCTGGATGCAGCTGAGCAGCTATTGTTTAATTCTCAGTGCCCAGTAGGGGTATTTATGGCACCCTAGCCACTACAGTATGATGTAGTGGTTATAATGCTTCGAGTAACACTTTAGGGAACAAATCTACATAATACATTACAATAATTTTATTGATCTTTTCCATATTTGCCATGATGTTTCCAGGCCGAGTAACAAAGACTAAGGATGGACATGAAGTAAGAACTTGTAAGGTGGCTGACAAGACTGGCAGCATCAACATTTCTGTCTGGGATGATGTAGGGAACCTGATACAACCTGGAGACATCATCAGGCTTACTAAGGGGTGAGGTCCCACTTGTATAATAGCTGTCACTTTAATTTGTTACTTTTTTTTTTTTACAATTCTATTTATTACTTTTGTGTATATTTGTGTCTGTAGAATATGTATAAAAAAAACATATTGTACTTATTTTGTTCGTCCACATCATTTTACATATTTGTGATGTACCTCAGTTATTTATTGGCAGGGTTTGGGGGTTTTTCATTTCCTTACCAATTATAGAGTTTCTCAAATCTCAAAAATGTTCTCTTGGATTGACAATCCAGGTAACATCTGTTTGGTGGACATCCAACATGCCCAACTGGTGAGTAATCTACTCCCTGCTCTCTTCTGGTTACCTCTCAATTAAAATGGATTGCATAACTACTCTGGGTATCTCCTGCCATCCACAGATTACATCAATACTTTTCATTTTACACACTCTTTGCATATGGTCCTATTACACTATCTGGGGTGACTATCTTTAAGCTAGTGTTTTATCCAAGAACTCAATTTTTTGTCTAAACCAACTGATTTCAGTTTTACTAGTAACCTTTTGTGAGGAACTGTATGAAATGCTTCAGCACATGGGTGAATACCATCTACCCCTGGGGCTCTGTTTAGATTAAGTTAATTTAATTTCTAAAGTACTTTATCCTTTGTTAACCAATCGCCTGTTTGTGGCAAGGTTTTTGTAACCGGTATCTGCGAGTCTACAGCCATAGATTCTTCTTCCCTATACAATAATAAAAATAAATTATTTATTTAGAATGTCTGTTTTGTCCTGATCTTCCTTGATTAACTCATCTTACTTTCTAATGGACCAACACTTTCACTCTTAACCTTTTTGGCATCAACAGACTAAAAAAAAACAAAAACAAAAAAAAGTTTTTTCGGGTTGGTCTTGTTCTCTTTGGCTAAATTTAAAAATGAAAAGCTCATAGCCAATCTAATCACCATTTTGGAAGTCCTTTTGCTAAGCTTATATTTGTTATAAGATCAATTCACCCCCTATGGTTTAAATACTTTAAATGCTCTTGTACTATCTTTTATAATATTACTGACAGTTTAAATTTAGGGTTATTTGCAAAGTACATATCCTCCTACGATGGATAGTAGAACTGACGGAGCTGTTATACAGTGTGCATCACTCGGAGCTTCCCCTGTTCTTCCTGCAAGGCATTTCCTGTGTGAGATGAGAAGTGGGCAAATGGAAAAATATTCATTCCACTTTCTCTCCAGATTCATACACAGACGCCTGAGGAGCTGGGAAAGCACTGTGTTATACATCCTCTATAACTGTTCCTGCAGCTCTGCTAGAAATCACAGTTGGCTGAATGGACTTAAGATAACACTAGCCAAGGCTTCTGTTAATTATCTCCACTCACCAGCTACCTGAGCTCCAAAATATGCATTACAAGTGCTGTAAATAGACTCCCCTTATAGGACAGGTGCCTACTCTGTCTAATAAGAAATACGGCCCTGGAAGTCATACAGCCCTTATGTACTCCCAGGAGTGGGACAAAAAGGATTCCCACCAGACACTATCATAGTTACTGCCTGGTGAGTGGGAAACCGGGGCAGAGGGCCTTAAAGTTCCTTAACTCTTTACCTATTCTCAAAACATGCTGCTTTCTAACCCCCTGGTTTAACCCCACTCTGGATGGCCTTAGGTATCAGCTGTAGCCATTTTTGTTCTATGAACAACACTGAGTGCACTGAAAAGTCCATGGCATACTCAGGGCAGAATTTGAACTCATTGACTAGCAGGTAAGTGGACATTTTGAATCTTTGTGATAACATTTAGTCTTTGGAAAATAAAAAAACAACAAACTCATTATGTATTGTATTTGAGATGTGCATATTCAGACCTGTATTTTGTTCTTTCTGTAGGTATGCTTCTGTATTCAAGGGCTGCTTGACTCTATACACAGGGCGAGGAGGTGACCTGCAGAAGATTGGAGAGTAAGCTCTAAACTAAAATATATGCAGTTGCAAATTCTAGACTAGCTCTAGAACCTATTAGAAATGCACTTTAACCCCAAGCACAGAAATCAATAGTTTCAATAATTTTTAGATATTTTTAATTATACCTGGTTTCTTTTCTTTTTTTTTTTTTTAATCTTTATTTTTTTATAGTGCACAGCTAGGCACTTTTCACTGCAGTCTTTACTTCTCTTCAGTAAATTTGAGTGATTGCAATTACCACAGTCTCAGCAGAGAGAAGTGAAGACTAGACATGTGCACAAATCCCTTACAGCTATGTTGAACAAATCAAAAGCATGCCAGTCTATGCAGGAATTATTCAATTAGTTTGGTATGTTGCAAACGAATAGGTATATTTGTACACTGATTGAGAGGCATTTGATTAGTTCATCACATTTGAAATGGATTCTTTTTCTAGTAAAGACCACTGTATGGTTTGTGAAAAAGCAACAGCCTTATAGATTTGTGTGTGATTTTGAGTTAAATAATGGTTGATTCTGACCTGAGGTCACTCAAAATGGCTGCACAAGTATGGAGAGTGTAACCGATGAAAATAATAAAACAAATAGCAGTATATATGATTAAAGGGACACTATAGTCACCAGAACAACTACAGCTTAATGCAGTTGTTCTGATGAGTATACTCATTATATGCAGGACTTTCCATGCAAACACTGTCTTTTCAGAGAAAAGGCAGTGTTTACATCCCTCTAGGGACACCTCCAAGTGGCCACTCCTCAGATGGCCACTGGAAGTGCTTCCTAGGGCAGTGCTGTACAGTAGGCAGCACTGCCGTTCAGTGTCCCCACACTCTGCATGGCGATGCTGAATTTTCGTCAATGATTCAATGCATCTCTATGAGGAGGTGTTGATTGGACAAAATGGTGTTTGGCCCCGCCTCCTTGCCAATTTTAGCCAATCCAATGCTTTCCCATAGCATTGGATTGACTAGAAATCGACAATTCTGATGTCACCAAGGAGGCGGATCGGGGACAGGGCAGGCGGACCCGGGCGGCACTAGAAATAAGGTGAGTTTGAATTCCTTTTAAGGGGGCTATGGGGGGCAAGCCAGGTAAATGTGGGATTAAACACTATAGGGTCAGGAATATGTGTTTGTGTTCCTGACCCTATAGTGTTCCTTTAAACAAAAATGAAAACAAAAATGAAATAGGCGTAAAGGCATCAAATCTTAAAGGAACACTATAGTCACCTAAATTACTTTAGCTAAATAAAGCAGTTTTAGTGTATAGATCATTCCCCTGCAATTTCACTGCTCAATTCGCTGTCATTTAGGAGTTAAATCACTTTGTTTCTGTTTATGCAGCACTAGCCACACCTCCTCTGGCTATGATTGACAGAGCCTGCATGAAAAAAAAAAAACTGGTTTCACTGTCAAACAGATGTAATTTACCTTAAATAATTGTATCTCAATCTCTAAATTGAACTTTAATCACATACAGGAGGCTCTTGCAGGGTCTAGCAAGCTATTAACATAGCAGGGGATAAGAAAATCTTAATTAAACAGAACTTGCAATAAAGAAAGCCTAAATAGGGCTCTCTTTACAGGAAGTGTTTATGGAAGGCTGTGCAAGTCACATGCAGGGAGGTGTGACTAGGGTTTATAAACAAAGGGATTTAACTCCTAAATGGCAGAGGATTGAGCAGTGAGGCTGCAGGGGCATGTTCTATACACCAAAACTGCTTCATTAAGCTTAAGTTGTTTAGGTGACTATAGTGTCCCTTTAAATAAAGAAAAATATACCATGACTGTTTTCCTTTAACGTTGTATATATTGTAATACACACAATTTTGCTTAGTTTAAAAGAAATATATTCCATCTGTACAGTAAGAAATGCATAGGTTTGATTAAGACTTTTTTTTTTTTTAAGTAGGCCCCTCCCCCACCTTTCAGTCAATTCTTAGGCATAGAGTCAGCATAGACCTCAGTGCTGAATAACCGATTGGTATATCACATACGTCATGGGAAAAGAACGTACACCATCTTTGAATTCTATTAGCAGGTCTTAAAATTAGGTAAATACAAGCTCGGATGAACACTATGATTTATTTAATAAAAAAAAAAAGCCAAAATGGAGTTCCTATGATTCAATTGTTTGTAAAGCCACCTGTGTCAGCAATAACTTGAGGTAATCATTTTCTTTATGACTATCATTCTCTCACATCGTTGTGGAGGCATTTTGGCCCAAATGATAACAATCCCAAATGATAAAAACTCTATAAAGTGCTAAATGCCAGTCTTTATAAAGTGCTAAATGCCAGTCTTTTTTTTATAGAGTTTTTATCATTTTGGATTGTACAGTATTACCAGTGTCTGCTTATCAGCTGTTGTTCCATCTTCTGTGTCCCACTTAAGTGGATATATGCCTGCAGATTGCGACCTGAGTGTAAGTGCAATCAGTAAAATAAATTTTGGTACATTTTAACAGTACTACTGTACTGCATATTCTCTTTGATATCTCTGAGATCCACAGACTTAAGAAGAATTTTGCTGCTGTATTCTGATACCCCCAAGGGGAGATAGGCGCAGATCATCTTTATGTCTTGTAAGTTCTCTACCTCCTGGAGATCTCTATCCACTGTTTTAACGTACTTCACCATATTTGTATTATCTTTTACTCTCTAGACCTTTTGAGGTTGTGCCCTGGTGTACAGGTTGTATCTCCATATCCTCTGTATTATATGTGCTATCCCATTTTTTTAGCTTGTGCCGCTTTTTAGTGACATCGGCTAATTGGTTTTCTATTATTTACAATGTTGCTTCAGACCTCTTAAAAGTCTTGTGGTTTGTTCAGATGCAACTTTGCAAAACTAATCCGTGCTGCCATGTTCTTTTTAGAGAGAGGATGCTTTCTCTTGGCAACACTTCCAAATAAACCATACTTGTTCAGTCTTTTTCTAGTTGTACTGTCGAACATTAAAGGAACACTTTAGGGTCAGGAACACCATCTGAGGAGTGGCCACTTGGAGGTGTCCCTATGGGCAATGTAAACACTGCATTTTCTCTGAAAATGCCTGAAGGCAATGATTTTACTCACCAGAACAAGCTACATTAAGCTGTAGTTGTTCTGGTGACTATAGTCCATTTAACATAGTAACTGAGGCCTGCAGAGTCAAAGATGTAACTCTTGTATGTTTTGCAATTTCTCTGATCATTTCATGGTCTATTCTTGGGGTGAATTTTTTTTTTTTTTTCTTGTGCATATGATGACAACAGCATCTACAAGCATTTTTTTTATGGCATTTCACATTGTGGCAGTTTAGTCGGCACATTTTTATGTAATCTGAAGTTTACAGACTAGTGGACATCGCTTATATAATATAACATGTTAGGGTATATAATGCCTATAACAGTGCTAGTCGCGCTTAAGATTATAAATGTGTAGCTTGTATGTAGTGCGGCATGTATGTCTTAGAAGCATAGTGATGAGATTAACCGATTATTGAGCCAGCAGAGGTAGCATTATACCAGGTAAGGCAGGCTAGTGTTTAATAACATATTGGCAGTCTTGACAGCATAACAAAAGGGAGGAGCAATTTCAGCATGCAAGATAGGTAAGCAATGTCCAATTTTTTATTTTATTTTTTGGTTCAAGCTTAATTAAATTAAAGCAAATACAGGCGTGTGGGTAAATGTTATGAAAGACAAAGCCACAACAGCTTAAGGAAACATAAGATATAACTATTGTGGCATATGCTAATTCTGCACATTTGAGAATATGAATAACCAGACTAGTCAGGTATGTCCACCTAAAGATTAAGCTATCATTGTGTACACAATTAGTACATGTTGGACACAGCTGCTTATAAGAGTATGTTAAGTAAACATATAGCGTGGGTTAATTAACTTTGGGTTATGTCTAGAGAGATTCAGCCAATACCCAGCGGGTGCTGGATACTGTCCGGGTATAAGCGATGGGTCATCCGGTCTAGTGAGTTAAGTCCCTGTGAGTGAGTACCTTGGTGGCATGTCAGAAGTATGGGGGCATGTGTTCTTCCGTTATATGTTGCTGCCTGGCTGAGGGTTCTTCTGTCTGGTTTGTAAGTGCTGGGTCCTCTTACAGGTTTTGTGTAGACCTGGTCGGGGATCCCTCTGCTTGGTGTGGACCCAGGCTGTTTCTTTTACTGTGTGGTCGAGCCGTCGCTGCCGCCATGTTAGTTCTCGTGCTTCGCCACCTACTCGATCGGCCAAGGTGGGCTGTGCCCCTCCGGGGTCTGTGCTGGGTCCTAGCGAGCGGGTGAAGTAGCTTTTGGCATTTGCTCTCATTTCGCCCCTGGATCGTGGTAGTTTGAGTCGGGCTTCGTTTGCTGTTGGTGGGATTCCATGCTGGTTTTGTGGCGGCCTGTCTCCGGTGCCTGTTTGTCTTGGGAGAGAGGTCTGGGGGGATAGTTAGGTCCTGTGTTGTGCCGTCGGGTGGGGATTCCAGTACCGGCGGCCACATAAGTGTCTCTAGCTTCTCCCAGAAGGCGCAGAAGATACCATTGAGTCGGCGCTCCGTTTCCTCTCTGGTGCTGCACCTGGCCGCGGTGTATAAGTTGTCCGCCATTTTGCAGGCTTTTTTATTGTCTGCCTGTCTTTGTGGTTGCTTCGCTTGAGTACACCTTGTCAGGCAGATTGTGTGTGGGTCATCCGGGATAACTCCCACTGGGCCAAGTGGGGGGAACAAGGGCTCCGATTCAAGTCTCCGACCTTTCTTGGCAGCAGGAGACCGGCAGTCTCTCCCGTGTTCGCCACGATGGTAGGCCTCGCCAGGGTGTCGGGTGCGTACCGGCTGGAACGTCGCTTGTTGGGAATCATTTTGTGCACCCCTTGTTATTTGTTTATTTTCGGTTTTCGTTTACCGGAGCTAGTGCGGCTCGCTTCCTTGTAATTCTGCGATCAAGCCCCGCCCCCCTTGGGGTGAATTTAATGGGAAGTCTACTCCTGGGAAGATTGGAACTCGACTTGAATGTTGTCCACTTTTGAATACTCTTTCTCAGTGTAGAATGATGGACTTTTTTTGGAAATGACCTAATAAGCCTTCCCATTTTGATGGGCAGCAACAATTTCTTCTCTAATATCATTGCTAATGCCTTTCTTCCTTGGCATTGTGTTAACAAACATCTAAATGCTCCAGTCTAGCAAACTGCTAAAACTTTGGCTTTTATAGAGGTGGTCACACTTGCTGATGATTATTTAATCAACGGCATTTGATTAGCACCACCTGTCTGCTACATAGCCTCTTAATTTCTATGGAAGCAGTAAGGGTGTACTTAATTTTTCGCACATGGCTTCTCCGTTTTTACTTTATTTTTGTTTAACCATGGGACCGTGTAATATGTCATGTCTTGTTGGTATTATTATTGGTATTTTTGTGCTGCTGTTATTTACCTAATTTTAAAACTTGCTAAGGAATAGATGATTGTTATTATGTTCTGATATGTAAAATCAAAAAATTCAAAGAGGGTGTACTTTCTTTTTCCCATGAATGTAGGTGATCCGATTCCTCCTGCTTGTTAGCAGAGCAACCAGAGAATGTGATATAATATGGTTATGGCAGTGGAGTGTAATAACACGAGTGAATGATGTATTTTCATACTGATGCCAGAGTGCTGGAAATGAAGCCAGCATGTTTACATTATGAAGAAGGATCACTCTACTTTTATAAAATTTGTTCTGTTCACAGAGCTGGTAGAGCATAGGAGGGCAGAAGGTGGTTGTTATATTAGTGTAACAGTTTGTTCCTCCTCATGGTTTGGGGGTGATGTTAAAAATAACTTGTCATAACCGGTTCAGTTAAAGGCACATACTTGTGTGCAGAATAATGCTCTGCTCTTGGTACACTTTACCATGAATCAATGTTAATTTTAAAAAAATATAAACACTGTTTTGACTCCAGGTTCTGCATGGTGTATTCTGAGATGCCCAACTTTAGCGAACCAAACCCTGACTATGTGGCCCAGCAATCTCAAAGCAAACAGGTGTGTGGGATGTGTTTAATTAATACGTGAGATGGGCAGTAGTGCAATTTCTATGGTTTACATAGTGTTCTGTGGTTTCAGGTCCAGGCAGAGAATGTGACAGGAACAGCAAATCACAGCTCATCCAGCAGCCCAGCTCCACCAGGTAAAATAAAAAGAACTAATGCACTTTCTATCTCACATTTTGTGTGAACTTTGGTTTGTTCAAGCGGATTTGGAGTCTGATCTGTATTGGTGCATCAGTGTGCTGAAGTATCTGTGTATGGGGAAACAGAAAAAAGAAAATGAAATTGTTCTTCTTTACTTTAACATAACCATCAAATGCATTTCTTTACTTGAAAATAATATTTATATAGTGCAGATGGATAAATCCAGTTTAGATAATATAATCAACACTACCCCAAGGCAATGTTCCTTACAATGAGAGAGCAGTTTGTAGTGCCACTCAACACTATAGCGCTTCGGGAGAATCAGATCCATAGTGTGCATTGGATCCCAACTCCCATAATCGCCAGTTGGTTTATGCAGGTAAAACTATTTGTGGCACATATGCAGAGAATGTTCCAATAAAACAGGGCAATATTAAAAGTACAAATCTTGGAATTTCATGGTCAGTAGAATTGCCGGGTCCTAGTAGCAATATTTCAAATGCCACTGTATTGCCCACTTGCTTCCTGGTTCATACTGGTCCAGCATGCTGTCGCCACACACATCACGTTTCGCTCCAAACCCTGAAGCTTTTTCAAGCATCCACGTCACTCGTCCGCCCTTTATCCCATTTATACATTGTCTCAGTTTCATAAATTGGTGCTTAACGTAACAATGTTCATTTATGTTGTCCATTAAATTTTAATTCAATTTGTTCTATTCAGTGGATAACTAAATTATGCTACTAAAAGGATACAAAATATACACGTAAGCATTCATTATAAGATATCCAAACTATTATAATTTCTTATAACAGGAACAAATTATGTTGAGGCACCATCTCCATTTTTTACTCTGAAGCCTAATGTCAGGTTAGTTGCTAGTAACTATCTAGCCTCTGGACGCATGTCAAATTAGTTACCAGTATGCTCTCACCAGCCCTCTAGTACACTAAAGGGGTAAGACACATAGAGGGGAGGGGGGAATAAGATACATGGGGGGGCTGGTACACACACAAAGAAACAGAGAAGCTGATGGAGACAGAGGCATGATGCTGGGGGGAAGAGACCCAGAGTGGCTGGGAACGGAAGAAAGAAACACGGACTGGGGGATGAAGAGAAACAGAGGGGCTGGGAAACAGCGCAAAGGAGACAGGCAGGGGCTGGGGAAGGGGTAAAACAGACGTGGGGGAGGGGGGGAAATCAGAAGGGCTGGGGGGGGCACAAAGACACACAGAGGGGATGTGAAAGGGGAATAAAGAGATACACAAAAGGGGCTGAGGGGGAAAAAAGCACACAGGGATTGGGGAAGGGAAAAAAGAGACACAAAGGGGCTGGAGGGGAGAAAAATTCACACAAAGGGGCTGGAGGGGAGTAAAATACATTTCAGGTGGGGACAAGATATAATAAAGGGGAGTGTAAGACAAAAGGGGGATAAGATACACTAAAGGGGTAAAACATTCAAAAGAGAGGATAAAAACACAAAAGGGAAATAAGAGGGGGGATTAGGGGACACACAGTTGAAGAAGCAAGGGGGGGAGATGAGAGGGGAGCAGCAGCAGCAAAATGCAGCTTAGCCAGTGTAGCCAAAAACTTCCATCTGCCCTGAGTGAGACCTATAAAGGTGTATATACAGTGAGGGGGAAAAGTATTTGATCCCCTGCTGATTTTGAACGTTTGTCCACTGAGAGAGAAAAATGACCCATCTATAATTTTAATGGTAGGTATATTTTGAGAGAGAGAGAGAGAGAGAGAGAGAGAGACAGAGTAACAAAAAAAAATCCAGAAAAACGCATGTCAAAAAAATTAGAAATTGATTTGCATGTCAATGAGTGAAATAAGTATTTGATTCCCCTATAAATCAGCAAGATTTTTGTCTCCCATGTGTCTTTTTTTTTATACAGGTAACGAGCTCAGATTAGGTGCTCCTAATCTCAGTTTGTTACCTGTATAAAAGACACTTGTCCACAGAAGCAATCAATCAGATTCCAAACGCTCCACCATGACCAAGACCAAAGAGCTGTCCAAGGATGTCAGGGATAGGATTGTAGACCTACACAAGGCTGGAGTGGGCTACAAGACCATCGCCAAGCAGCTTGGTGAGAAAGTGACAACAGTTGGTGTGATTATTCGCAAATGGAAGAAACACAAAATAGCTGTCAGTCTCCCTCGGTCTGGTGTTCCATGCAAGATCTCACATCGTGGTGTTTCAATGAACATGATCAATGATCAACGGTGAGGAATCGGCCCAGAACTACACAGGAGGATCTTGTTAATGATCTCAAGGCAGATGGGACCATAGTCACCAAGAAAACAATTGGTGACACACTACGCCAGAAAGGACTGAAATCCTGCAGCGCCCGCAAGGTCCCCCTGCTCAAGAAAGCACATGTACAGGCCTGTCGGAAGTTTGCCAGTGAACATCTAAATGCTTCAGAGGAGAACTGGGTGAACGTGTTGTGGTTAGATGAGACCAAAATTGAGCTCTTTGGCATCAACTCAACTCGCCGTGTTTGGAAGAGGAGGAATGCTGCCTATGACCTCAAGAACACCATCCCCACTGTCAAACATGGAGGTGGAACATTATGCTTGAGGGGTGTTTTTATGGGGACAGGACAACTGCACCACATCAAAGGGAAGATAGACGGGGCCATGTACCGTCAAATCTTGGGTGAGAACCTCCTTCCCTCAGCCAGGGCATTGAAAATGGGTAGAGGATGGACATTCCAGCATGACAATGAACCAAAACACACAGCCATGGCAACAAAGAAGTGGCATTAAGGTCCTGGAGTGGCCTAGCCAGTCTCCAGATTTTAATCCCATCGACAAACTGTGGAGGGAGCTGAAGGTTCGAGTTGCCAAACGTCCGCCTCTAAACCTTTATGACTTGGAGAAGATCTGCAAAAAGGAGTGGGACAAAATCCCTCCGTAGATGTGTGCAAACCTGGTGGTCAACTACAAGAAATATCTGACCTCTGTGATTGCTAACAAGGGTTTTGCCACCAAGTACTAAGTCGAAGGGGTCAAATACTTATTTCACTCATTGACATGCAAATCAATGTAAAACTTTTTTTTCTGGATTTTTTTTTTTTTTTGTGTTATTTTGTCTCACTGTTAAAATACATCTAACATTTAAATTATAGACTGACAATTTCTTTGTCAGTGGGCAAACGTTCAAAATCAGCAGGAGATCAAATACTTTTTTACTTCACTGTACATACTGGGTGTATGTAAAATTTTCAGTGAGTGATATTACTCATAAAGATTCAATTACAATTATTTATGTAGTGCCAACATATTCTGTACAAAAGGTAAACTTACACAAGCAATCCTGAAGAAACAGGTTTGGCATACAGTAGGTAAAGAGGCCTTACCCAAACAAACTTACAATCTAATAGTTCAGAAAATTCCTTGGAAACAGGAATGTTTTACCATTAACATGGGTGTTTTAACTCTGTATGCGGTCAGGCTAAATTACTGGTCAAAATTTTTATTTTATAATTCTTTTTTTGTTGTTGTGCACATATAACATTACAAGCTTGCCATGCCACTACAGCATCAACAAGAATAATATGACACAATAAACATCAGTGTGGTATTTTAAGAATCCACACAATTTTTTATAGTAATAGTTAACAATCTAGCTAGGCAAACATGCAGTTGTGCGACTGAAAAGAAAGGTATAGTTAAGACTTCAGACATGATAACTTGTGTGTATGATTAAATGATCCACAATGTATTAGAGAGTGGTGAAAGGGCAAACAGACCAGGTGACTGCCAACTAGCGGGCGTCCCTCCCCACATGACACCATAGGAAAATTACAGCAGACCAGAGCAAAACAGTATAAAGTCTACTGTGTCAACTTTAAAATAAATTGATTCATGAGGGGTGAAGCCAGCACCCAACATAGACAGACGTGTGTATCTCAAGCTCCTCATGGTTTGCCCAGCTAATACCTTTCCCAACGAGACAGCACTCTCTCCTGGGCCACACAGTGACCGATCCCCCACCTGCAAACCATGGGGAAGATTTTTTTTTTTTAAATCGGCCAGACCCTGGTTCCGGGTCTCTCGATATAGGGGCACAATACAGAGGCCCACTCTTTCCAAGATGGCTTCCGATCTGACTTGCTCGTCTGAGTGCTCAGAGGATTACAGTCTGGAGGAGGACCTGCTAGCACCATCGAGAAAACAGGTCAGACCACCCCAGGGATGAAGCCCCATCCACCAAAGCTGACATCAAAGCCCTTTCAAAGTACATACAGACGATGTTCCAAGCAGATATTGCAGTGATCAGGGAGCAGGGGACCACCCTCACAGGCTGCATGGCCGCCATGAAGGCAGACACTGGGGCCACCAAAATGGCTCAAGCGGCCACATATTCTGTCCTCCTTACGATGAAGAAAAACCAAGCTGTGTTGACAGCCTGCGTAACCGCTATGGAGGATAGAGCCAGAATCCAAAATATCTGCATCAGGGGGTTACCTGATAGAGCATTAATGATGGAGAGCTCCCTCACTATCTCCGCTATCTTCTTTTTTCAGATCCTTAGAGAGTTCTTTGCCATGAGGTGCCATGTAGACCAGTATGAGAGAGTGTGAGAACACTAACACCAAATTAACACACCTGCTCCCCATTCACACCTGAGATCTTGTAACACTGAGTCACATGTCACCGGGGAGGGAAAATGGCTAATTGGGCCCAATTTGGACATTTCCACTTGGGGGTGTACTCACTTTTGCTGCCAACGGTTTAGATTAATGGCTGTGTGTTGTTATTTTAAGGGGACTGCAAATTTACACTGTTCTACAGGCTGTACACTTACTACTTTACATTTACATTTCTTCAGCGTTCAAATGAAACGATCTGATAAAATATTTGCCAAAAATGTGAGGGTGTACTCACTTTTGTGAGATACTGTATGTATTTTCAAGTTCTGTTGTGGCATGGCAGGACTGTTTGTATCACTATAAACAGCAAAAAAAAAATTATTTTTAAAACTGGGGGCGGGCCTGACCGATGATTGGATCAGACGTTCTTCTTCCGAGCTCCTGCATCTGAGCCTGAAATATCGGTGCTAACTGCGTGCCACAAGCAGACACTGACCCAAATCAGTGACCAAACGACTCACCAGCCGACGGTGTACACAGAGATGCAGCAAATGACCCGACACGGCATCACAGTAACCCGATCGAGGCCTCTCCGAGCTTGAGCTAGGGTGAGACGACGTTCTCCGACCAGCAACCTGCTATCCCCATTTCCCCTCTGGACTGGTGGGGGTTATCCCGGTCTCCACGGGCAACCACAACTGGCTACAGCAAGCCCCAAAAACCTGCCTTGTTGTGGAGCAGAGATGGGGCGACTCACCCCAAGATGGCCGACACCAGGCAGCTGCGTGCACAACTTGCGGGCAAGACATCGCAGAGCATGAATGAACACATACCGCAGTGTCTGGATAAAATACTCAACAGCCCCTGGGACAAGTCTGCTGACTACCCTGAGAATCCCAATGCACCAGCAACGAAACATAAGCAGAGAGATAAGGGGTGGAAAAAGAGCGGGTCCCCCGTAGGCATTCCTAACCAAGCAAGCACACAGTCCTACACTTCAGGCCCACGCGGGCTGAAGACCATAAGGGATACAATCCTGGAGCATCAGCCACCGGAGCGGAGGATTCAATGCCACAGATGACGACTCTCCATCGGGATCCACGGCCGTCCCGAGCAAGGGAGGAACTTGGCTTCCTACGCTCAACTTCGTGGTCCGTAGATGCAGGCCTTCACGACAGACCGAGGCTTTGGGGAGGACGCACTCTAACTCTGCCTCTTGCTGACATGCTACCCCTTAAGCCTGCTGCCAAGCCGGGGTATCGGCTGAGCCGGAACTATATACCCATGATATGCTTGGCTACCCTCAGGTTCCTATCATACAGGCCTGCACACACACAGCTTCACACACAGCTTTAAACATGACCTAGCCTACGGTGCGACCTTTAGACATGACACAAGGCAGACACAAGCCACAGAATACAACTGACGCCACCATGCACCTGATCTGTTAGATACAAGCACACTCGCAACACCTGACACCATACCGGTCTTAGGGAGCAAATGCCGATATGTACCACTTATTGACAACACTCCGACCGGCAGCCCGTGGTTACCCAAGCTTAGAGCCCACGCATAAAGATTAAGCAATTATAATGTAAGCTTGCATTTCTAGCTTGCCACACTGAATAGATCGTTGTACCTGCTACTGTTATCCTACTACTATACCTAAAAAAAAGTGCACGTTTCTCAAATGCTATTATTGTTATGCATGATAAAACGCTAAAGGACTGCTGTTGGGGCACCTCAAACCTGTATGTTGATACCAGTATGCACAACAACAACAACAACAACAACAAAAATTAAAAAAAAACAAAAAACTGATTCATAGGGAGATAAGGAATAAACAAAGTAAGTCCAGCAGAATACAAAATAAAATCTAGCAGCTAGGCTAAACATGAGGGGAAATAAGGCAATGCTTGGACGTCATTCAGCCGATATCGGCAACCGGTAGTTTATAGTCCCACAAGGTGGAGTAGTGCTGCCAGCCCAGTAGTGTGAGAGCTGTTGATGTGGTGAAAGGTAAGCTTTGCAGCCTCCCTGGCTCCCTCCATGCCTCCCATACCTCTGGTGTGCACGTGGCAATCCTAGGGCTTTTCTCCCTCTGCTCTGGAGTAGGCTTGTTCGCAGTCTGCCTCGAGTTGTGCTTTTGCGGTCTTTGCCTCTTGGTGCACACCCTCTGAGAAACTTTGACCGCAAGCTGGGCCCGAAGAGATTGAAACAGCTGCCCAGGTGGGTGAGTGAGAGGGGATTGTGATGCTGGCTGTAATCGTTGCTTGTGTGCGTCCCAACTCCTCCAGTCTCTCCCAATAGTTAAAGAACGTGTTGCCGCCAACCGTGCCTCCAATTGGGTGCAAAATTGCGGAAATATCGCTTCCAGCCTCAACAGGATGTGACTAGAGTGGTCTTCTTATTATGAGCTGCACTGCGGTGAGCATTGTGGCCTAGGGAGAGACATCCCTGCCATATTGTGTGGAGCAGTTTTCTCAGAACTTTGGATCGTTACAGAGGTGTCTGCAAGCCCAGTGTGGTCCGGGATAACCCCCACCGAACCATGGGGGGGAGGAGTGAGGTGAGACCAGATAGCTGTAGAGCGGGAGGAGCGGCCGCCTCTCCCCAGCACAAACTCTTGTAGGCCACATATGCACACCTCAGACTCAGAACTACCAAACCGGACAAGAGTGAGCTTACCAGGTTGGTTTAAGCGGCCTCTGTTACTCTCTGCCCCCTCTACTGGTCAGATTTTATTGTAACCTATGGATATCCTCAGTTGTGTATGATTACTATCAGATCCCCTACTGTCTGCAGGAAATGGCTTAATCAAGGTAAATTCACTTTATCCCTTGAGATTATAACTCATTTAACAGGTGAGATGCAGCATCAAGAAAAAAGAGTTGTTAGTTTGAAATGTATTTGTCTTTGATTTTCTACTAATGAAATTTTATTTTAAAATGGAATTCCAGGGCTTTTTTGGATAAAATGTCCGTCCCCCCCTCTATTTTGGCATGGTTTTATAAGGATTCAATTGTTAACTACTTAGACAATTAAGTTACACCTAATTTTGATTGATTCCCTATTTCACATTCCTGATATATCAGATTCAAGTCAGGTGAAAGGCCATTATGAAGTAAGCCTCTGAGCATTCAGACAACCGCTTGCAAACCCTTCTGTGGAATATAGCTTGGTTGCTACTTCTAAGTGCTGTATCTAAGTGTGTAGTTGAAGATATTCTGGAGAGTTTTACAGAAGCTTCAACTGTCTAAGAGTTGTGCTAAGAGCTTTCTTTTCTACTGTTACAGGTAAGATTCATCTATAGGAAAAGGTTACTGATTGCACAAGGTTTGAATTCCTGTTGGTAATTATAAGGCATTTGATTAGATTACTTGCTTTTGATTGCTGTTTAAATTAGCTATTGTTTGCAAATAAGCAGAGGCCTACCCAGGTGTTAAACATTCGTAGTGGGTGGTGATTTTAGGAGTTATATAAGGGCTGTGGTCATTAGCTTGGCCAATATAGCTTGGTTGCTACTTCTAAGTGCTGTTTCTAAGTGTGTAGTTGGAGATATTCTGGAGATAAACTGGAGGTAATCTGAGGTATTCAGGAGGATAAATACAAATTTAAGACTTGTTTGATTTAAATTATTCTCCTCATTGGAATGGCAGACTTAGTTCAGTGTAATAGTTGCAATGCATTTGTTTCACGTTCCACTTTTTGGAGGTTTGGTTGTTGTCTAATCTGTAGACAGTTCTCTATCTTGCGGCAGGAGATTGTATTTTTGAAGTCTGAGATTTGTAAATTATTTGGTGAACAAACTCAGACTGGAACTTCAGCAAAGCCACTGCCGCAGAGACATACTAGGAATAGCAGATGGATTACTGTAGGATCTGGTAGACTTAGAGTTGTGGATAAAAGGCATTTTGCACAGTCTGTTGATCTTCATAATTCATTTTCTGCACTTTCAGAGTGTAATGGTGTAGTGGAGAGAGGCACTGAGGCTAGTGGTGTTGTGGAGAGAGGCACTGAGGCTAGTGCTGTTGTGGAGACCGGCTTGGAGACTATGGTGAGGCCTAATAGAAAGCAGTTGTTGTTGGGGGATTCCATTATAAGAGGTTTGGAGATGGACAATGGTGGTCTTGTGAGGTGTCTTCCCGGAGCTACTGCTCACAGAGACAGGAGACGTATCTGTAATATTGTTAAGCAAGCAAAGCAGGAAGGGGAATTTGATGTACTTGTCCATCTAGGGACAAATGACTTGGCTTGCAATGAGGTTTCAGAGGTTAAGGAAGTTTTAGTGTTTTTGCCAATGATATACGGCAGGTTGCTTCCACACTGTCATTCTCTGAAGTTCTGCCTGTGCATAACACTCAGAACGACAGGCGGATGCGTATTAGGGACTTTAACTTGTGGCTTGGTGAATGGTGTCGAGAGCAAGGATTTGGCTTTATTTCTCATGATAGCTCTGTTTGGAATGGAAATAAAATGTTCAAAAACGATGGTTTTCATCTTTCTCAAAAGGGGACAAATGTTCTCAGTGAGCAGTTCAGAGGTTTTGCTTGGATGTATTTAAACTGGGGGGGTGGAGGGGGAGGGAAAGGGTGATAAAACATCAATCCAATTGTCCCCAAAACAAGGACAGAAGGTGCCTGTAGCAAGTGTGTTAAAAAATGATAAGCTTAGAGTCATGTCTACAAATGCTCGCAGTTTAGGGAATAAGATCCATGAACTTGTGGCAATAACGGCAACTGATAGTGTAGATTTAGTCGCTGTTACTGAGACATGGTATAATGAGAAAAATGACTGGGACATAGCAATACCAGGGTACTCTTTATACAGGAAAGATAGGGAAGGCAAGAAAGGGGGAGGGGTGGCCTTGTATGTGAAGGATAGCATAAAATCTAGCCTAATAAAAGTTAGTGAGGCAAACATAGAGTCCGTTTGGGCTACGTTAGAATTTGGTAATCACACAGTAACTCGTGTAGGTGTGATTTATAGGCCCCCAGGACAAATTGAAGAGTTAAATAATCTACTAGTTGAGGAAATAGCTAAAATGACAATGAAGGGGGAAGTTATCATCATGGGTGACTTTAATCTTCCTGATGTAAATTGGAAAACAAAAATTAGCTACTTGTGCCAGGAGCACACATATTCTAAACTCCCTACTGGGATTGTCTCTAAAACAAGTTGTTGAGGAGCCAACTCGTAAAGAGGCCATACTAGATTTAGTGTTAACAAATGGAGATTTGGTATCAGATATTACTGTAGGTGAAAGTTTAGGATCCAGTGATCATCAGTCAGTGTGGTTTAATATAAGAACAGTGACTGAGTCACACCACACAAAAACAAAAGTTTTAGACTTTAGAAAAACAGACTTTTCTAAAATTAGAATATGTGTAGAGGAGTCATTATCAGACTGGAGAAATTTAAATGGAGTCCAAGAGAAATGGGATTATTTAAAAGTTGCACTATTGAAGGCAACAGAAAATTGCATTAGGCTTGTCAGTAAAAGCAAAAAATTCAAGAAACCACTGTGGTACTCCACAGATGTGGCCAAAATAGTTAAAAACAAAAAGTTAGCATTTAGGAATTATAAAAAACCCAGAGTGAGGAAGACAAAATGATCTATAAGATTAGGCAGAAAGAGGCTAAGCAAGTTATAAGAGCTTCCAAATCACACACAGAAGAGAAAATAGCACAGTCAGTAAAAAAGGGGATAAAACATTTTTTAGATACATAAATGAGAAAAGAAAAGTAAAACAAGGATTAGTTAGATTAAAAACAAAAGAAGGAAGGTATGTAGAAGAGGATAAAGGTCTAGCTGACTGCCTCAATTAATATTTTTGTTCTGTATTTACAGATGAAAATGAATGAAAGGGACCTCAGTTGAGAAAAAGGATAAATTAGTCCTTTATTACACGTGAGTTTACAGAGGAAGAGGTTCTATTTCAACTGTCAAAAGTAAAGACAAGTCAATGGGACCTGATGGAATACACCCACAGCTATTTAAAGAGCTTAGTGGTGTACTAGCAACACCATTAACAGATTTATTTAACCAATCATTGTTAACAGGAGTAGTCCCAGAAGTTTGGAAGTTAGCGAATGTTGTGCCCATTTACAAGAAAGGTAATCGGGAGGAGTCGGGCAACTATAGGCCAGTAAGCCTTACTTCAGTAGTGGGGAAAGTGATGGAAACAATGTTAAAGGATGGGATTGATGAACATCTAAAAACACATGGATTTCAAGATCAGAGACAACATGGGTTTACTTCAGGGAGATCATGCCAAACTAATCTTATTGATTTTTTTGATTGGGTAACTAAAATTATAGATCAGGGTGGTGCAGTAGACATTGCTTACCTAGATTTCAGTAAGGCTTTTGACACTGTTGCACATAGAAGGCTTATCAATAAACTGCAATCTTTAGGTTTGGATTCCAATATTGTTGAATGGGTAAGGCAGTGGCTGAGTGACAGGCAACAGAGGGTTGTAGTTAATGGAATATATTCGAAGCTTGGACTTGTCACCAGTGGGGTACCTCAGGGATCTGTACTTGGACCCATTCTCTTTAATATTTTTATTAGTGATATTGCAGAAGGTCTTGATGGTAAGGTATGTCTTTTTGCTGATGATACTAAGATATGTAACAGGGTTGATGTTCCAGGAGGGATAAGCCAAATGGCAAATGATTTAGGTAAAACTAGAAAAATGGTCAGAATTGTGGCAACTGACATTTAATGTGGATAAGTGCAAGATAATGCATCTTGGACGTAAAAACCCAAGGGCAGAGTACAGAATATTTGATAGAGTCCTAACCTCAACATCTGAGGAAAGGGATTTAGGGGTGATTATTTCTGATGACTTAAAGGTAGGCAGACAATGTAATAGAGCAGCAGGAAATGCTAGCAGAATGCTTGGTTGTATAGGGAGAGGTATTAGCAGTAGAAAGAGGGAAGTGCTCATGCCATTGTACAGAACACTGGTGAGACCTCACTTGGAGTATTGTACACAGTACTGGAGACCGTATCTTCAGAAGGATATTGATACCTTAGAGAGGGTTCAGAGAAGGGCTACTAAACTGGTTCATGGATTGCGGGATAAATCTTACCAGGAAAGGTTAAAGGATCTTAACATGTATAGCTTTTAGGAAAGACGAGACGGGGGGATATGATAGAAACATTTTAATATATAAAGGGAATCAACACAGTAAAGGAGGAGACTATATTTAAAAGCAGAAAAACTACCACAACAAGAGGACATAGTCTTAAATTAGAGGGACAAAGGTTTAAAAAATAATATCAGGAAGTATTACTTTACTGAGAGGGTAGTGGATGCATGGAATAGCCTTCCAACTGAAGTGGTAGAGGTAAACACAGTAAAGGAGTTTAATCATGCATGGGATAGGCATAAGGCTATCCTAACTATAAGATAAGGCTAGAGACTAATGAAAGTATTTAGAAAATTGGGCAGACTAGATGGGCCGAATGGTTCTTATCTGCCGTCACATTCTATGTTTCTATTTTAAGTTCCATGTAAGTTGTCCTATTGATTATATTGGTAGTTCCTCCCGTGAAATAAATAATTGTAATTCTTTTTCTTTGCAGTTATAAGCTGCTGTTCCTGATATACATGTTTTCAGTAGAGTATGGTATTCTGAAAATTTGAAACAAATCTCACCGAAAAGATAGAGGGAATAAGACAGAGTAGGGAGAATAGCTCTAAACTGGAAAAGGGGATTCACCAAAACCTTTAGAACACACACCATAAAATATAGTATGAGTATCCAGGAGCTAACACAAATGCGAAATAAAATTAAATACAAATCATTTGTCACTTAAAACGTCCAGAATAATATAAAAGTCCTTGGTGGAATATCTATAGCATATGCAACCCTAACCCTGCTTGCGAAAACAACACAGGACTGATGGTACCAATGATAGATAGTATAATATATATATATATAAAAGATAATTACAATTGGTAGCAAAGCATATCAGTATGAGGAACTGTTTGCTCAATATTAAGGTGCAGCAGTGTCACGACGAGTCCTCTGTACGTTGCTCCGCCATTTTTGGCGCTATGCGCGGGAGGCCTCCCTGCATGTAATCCCCAATATTTCGGGACCCAAAGGCCATAGCAGCTTTATTCGTCTTGGTCCGTTTTCCCATCGCGTTATGGGGGTGAGTGGTTGGTTTACCTTCGGTGTAGCACCCGGTTTGCCGTATTTAGTTTGCTTGGCTATACGGAGCCTCAGCTCTGCATGTCTGCCCCTCCCACCCCCCATTTTGTATTTTTGTCGTACATAGAGGTACACAGAACCTTGCTAAGCAACAACAGCCTTTGCAAGTGCAACTTAAGACATGAAATAACAATCATGTGGCTTCAATAAAACTGCACAATTTTTACAGAATATGGAAATATGAGAAAAACCATGCTGCTACAGGTACTTCAAAGCAAGTAGATCAGGCATGTTAGTACTAAACAAGAAAAGTACACTCTGACTTGGTCGTCAGGTGAATTGATGAATGAGAACTTGCATGTAAATATAACAGAATGTGAGAAAGCGGCAAGGAAAAATAAAATTGCGTAATCCCACTAAGAGAGTATGGTAAACTGGGCTAGCAGATTATATAGCACTTTGTGCCCTGTGCTAGTATGAGCAAGTTAACATGCAAGTAAAGGTGCATCTGGCCCGGGCTTTTTTGGCAAGCAGAGTATCACTGGCAGGTGACTTAGTGACACCATAATATAGCCGCAAAGAATAATCTAATTCCCTCCCTGGGACAGAGGCTCAAAGAAGTCCCTTAGTAATGGGGGGTGTAAGGAGAGATGGTCAATAGGACCTTGTGCACCACAACACTCCAGCCCCAGGCTGAAATCAGAACCGGCACTCAATGTCCACTGACCCAACCTACAGAGACTAAGGCAGAGTCCCGCGACTGCCCCTATGAGGAACCATTCATGGGTGTGTGGACAGTGCTTCGGGTGTGTGAAGAGTGTGTTGGCGGTATAACTGTGGTGGCTCAGGTTGAGGAATTGGGGATATTTGACAATAGGCAATTTTACATATGGAATATAACAGACAAGAGGTGAAGAAGATCTTGCTCAAACAAGCTTACAGTCTATGACAGTGATGGCTAACCTTGACACCATAAATTGTTTCTGGACTACATTTTCCTTGATGCTCAGCTAGCTTTTATACTCTAAAGCTAGCTGAGAATCATGGGAAATGTAGTCCAGAAACAATTTATGGTGTCAAGGTTAGCCATCACTGTCCATGAGGAATGGGTAAACACATACAAGAGAAATAACAGCATGTCAGACGGGGTAGGGATTGATGGATAAGATGTCTGTGTCGAAATAAGATGGTAAAAGGGGAAAAATTTAACTGTGGCAGGAGGGAAAGAGAGCTGGGCTAAGGAGGAGTGGGTACTGATGAGGGCAGTGAAAAGAGAGAAGCATCGCCCAGGAAGAGGGTAAGTTTTCCTTAAGAGATGTGTTTTTAGTGATGTCTTAATGGACTGGAGGTTAGGGGAGAGTCTGATGACACGGGTTGGCGAATTCCAAAAGATTGATGCAGCCCTTGAAAAATCTTGCAGATGAGAGTTGGCAATTCGGGAACGAGCAGATGTCAGGAGAAGGTCATTTGCAAAGGGAACGATAAGGGGTATGTTTGAGTAAAGCGAAATCTAGTGAGAATTGGATTTAGTGAGGACTTTGTAAGTTAGTTTTCGTAGTTTTAATTGGAATTTTAAGGGTACAGGAAGCCAATGTAATGATTGACGAAGAGGTGAGGTGTGGTAGTAGTGGTCAGTCAGGCACAGACTAAAGCGGGGAAATGCAGGTATTTGGAAGACTGGTGAGTAGTGAGTTGCATTAGTCAAGTGGGGAAATAATGAGTGCATGAACAAGTGCCTTAGTTGTCTCTTGAGTTAGAAAATGGCGACAGACTGGGTGTGAGGAGAAAATGTAAGACCCGAGTCAAAAGTAACACCAAGGCAGCAAGCATTGGGAATTGTGGTAATAAATAGTCCTACTCCATCACTCTTCCTGCAAGTCAATGGAACTCTTGAGGGAGGAAAGATAAGGGGTTCAATTTTAGAAAAATTACATTTTAGAAAACCGGAAGACCTCCAGTTATAGATGGAAGACAGTCAATTTGTGATGCGTTCCAGAAGAGCAGGGGAGGGGTAAATCTGTATTTCCTGGCCAATCCATGTCTCCCCTCTCAGCTGATAGGACAGGAATCTAATTCTCAATTGAAGGTATATAAGGAATCCACCTCCCCAGAATAAGCAGTCTTTTTTCCTGTCCTCCAGCTGTTAGGCAGCACAACAGTTTTATTTTAAAGTTCACCTGCCATTAGTTTTTCATTATGGCATCCCTGGGGAGTTTAGCCTCTCTCCCCAAGAAAGAACCCAGATATAGTCCAAGCAGTTTGGGATTCCCTGGGTTAAGATTACTATGATAGTTCATAGTAATTGAAGACTGGACCTTGGTCTAAATTCTACAACTTTTTAAATCTAATATAGATATATAGATATATATACACACACACAATCCTACCGATACATATCTGTAATGTAGCCTGACACATCCTGAGAGATAAAGGTCCAAGGATAACAGAAAATCCAGGAAATATCATACCTGCCCATCTGATGCAATTGAAGGGAAAAATGTATGCAGGCACTGCTTTGAATCATAGCATTTGAAGGAGCATCTATATCTGCAGAAACCGTTAACCCAAATCTGGCTGAGGTAATTTCTATGGTTGCTGGGATTAAAGGATTAAAGAGGCAATTTGCAAGTCATTCCTCTAAAAAAAACCTTAAAGAGCAAGAGAAGATTCCTCAAGCTCTATGTCAGAGGTTCATATCCCAGATGGCTTTAACTCATCAGAGGATGAAGAGAGCATGGATTACCCTTCTAACCTAGACGGTTAAGTGGTTAATTCACTAATTTATCTAATTAGAGACACTCTTAGAATCCCAGAGGGTTGTGGAGAAGCTAGGGACTCAGATATATATACACTTTGAGGACCTGCACAGGAGAAGAATTATTTCCCCTATATACTCCATCATTAAAGATCTGATTAGAACCAGAATGGGAGATACACGTTTTTCAACCCAAGGGAAAGTCAATATATTATTCTCAATCCAATTATCAGACATAATTCTGGAAAATTGGAGGTATAGCACAGTGGTAGAGAATGTGACCGCAGATCAAGAGGTTTCAAGTTCAAATCCTGATGCTCCCCCTAAAAAGAAAATCATGAATTCAAAGTTTCCTTCAAATGCTTTTCTTGGGTGCCAGTGATTCTACTATTTTAAAAACACAACACTGAAAGTGGATGCGACTATAATGGCAACGAACAGTGGCAAAAAGAACTGTTTTTACCAATAGACAGTGCAGCATTTTTGAGGAAACCAATGGAAAAACAAGAAGATGCTAACATGGTCAAGACTTACTCTTTAGGCGCAGCAATGCATCCTGCAGTGGCCTTAACATCATTGTCAAGGGCTCTAAGTGTCTGGACCGCTATGCTTAGTAAAGACATCTCTAAAAGCACTAACAGAGATACATTACTGGAAATTTTAAAGGATTTAAAAAAATTCACTTCAGATTTTATTACAGAAGCTTTGGTAGTCCTCACCAAGCTTATATAAAAAGCTATTGGCCATTCAGTTTCAGCCAAGAGAGCCCTTTGGTTGAGAACATGGGGTGCAGATAATTCATCAAAACTAACCTATGCCTACTTTCTTTTCAGGGAAACCTTATATTTGGAAAGCCCTTAGACGATGCTACCTAAGGTAGCTGACTGGGGAAAAAAGTTCTCCTGCCACAGGACAGAAGAATAAAGCAATATCCTAATGGCTGGAGCAGAGGATACAAAGAACAAAATTTCTTTCCAGATCTTATAGCCTGGGAGAGAATATTCTAGAGTGCCATCTTCCAAGGTGATATTTATATGCCTTTTTGGAGTCAAGAATGAATTTGTTCTTAGTTTGTTGCAAAATTGGAAACACTTCAGACAGGGTTTTTTGTTTTTCTGTAGATCAACAGAAAAAAACATATGTGAGAGAGACTGAACTTGATGGACGCAAGTCTCTTTTCAGCTAGAGGCTGATGAGATATCTCAGCTGGCTAATAGATCAGCCCTTGGGGGCTGCAGGGTCAAATCCTGGCAGTGTTGGCTTAACTCTTCATTTCTCCGAGGTAGATGTAATGAGTACCATTAAATTGGATAATCGTAACAACCCCTGGACATACTTGCAAACCAGAGTAATCTGAATGTACCTTTTCTGGTTACCGTACATACTTTGTTATTATTATGTGACATACCCTAAAGAGGAAGAAATTTTTGTTCGGCAGGTGGCAGGAAACAGATATTCAAGGTAGGAGCCCGCCTTGCAAAATTTAATCAAATCTGGTCCTTGCACATCACAGATCTTTCAGTTCTGTCAGTTATATAGAAAAGGAAAAACCTATGCAAGAATGCCTAAAAAACAAAACTTCAACATAGATTCATAGATCTTCAAAAGGCATACTATCACATCCCTGTAGCACTTGCACACAGACAGTATCTAAGGTTTAAGATTTTTGACAGTCATTTCCAAGTCTAAGCTTCGCACCCAGTAAATTCACAAAGATCCTGATCAGCCTAAATGCTCTCCTATGGGAATAAGGAATCAGAATATTCCATTATCTGGAAGATATACTGATTGTGAACAAATCAAAAGGAAGACTCATCAGAGATACAGAGACAGTCATTGAGGACTTACAAGATTTCGAATGTATTATAAATCTAAAAAAATATCAACTGAAACCATCACCGGGAACAATGTGCCCAACTATCGGTTTAGTGAGGTGGGCACACTGGAACCTGAGAATAACACAGAAAATTTTCTTGGAGCAGTTCAATCAAGAATGGAAACAAAAGATATGGATCACAGAAGAAGTAAGAAGGTCTCTTCAGTAATGGATGAACGTAGAAAATATCAGGAGAGGCTTCCCGCTAGGGGACCCAGAGTCGGAATTAGTGACCACAGATGCAATGGAAAAGGTTGGGGAGCTCAATACATCCTCCAGAACAACAAGACGGTGTCGCCGATACATATGGATGTACATCCAGGAGAATGGAAACTGAGTTTGGATACGTTCAAGCAGACATGCAATATTTGGGGAACACCGGATATAGATCTGATGGTGAAAAGTTCCCCCTTTTCTCTATTCCATAAGATTTCACCCAAGAACAAAGATCAAGATGCCCTAACACAGAGATTACATTTTTGGCTGGGATATGTATTCCCTCTCCTTCCATTAATCCAGATAACTTTCAAAGACCTGGAAAAAAAATGTAGAGGTGATAGCAATTATTCCTCATTGGCCAAGGAGGCCTTGGTTGCCACTGCTGTGAAGTCTATCACAAGGAGTTTCTTGGGAACTGCCAATCAAGAGGAACCTATTATCACATGGGACTTGCCTACAGTTTTGCATAATCTGACAGGCGCACCCTTTGAGTCTATGGATTCTTCATCTTTACGGGTCTTAACACTGAAATGTTTTTCCTTGTTGCCATCACCTCAGCCAGAAGAGCTTCAGAATTACAAGCTCTTTCATCTGATCATCCTTTTACTCAATTTATTGGAGATAAGGCGGTTCTAAGATTGGCTCCGATATTCATTCAAAAGGTTCCTTTCCTAATTTCACCTGAACCAGGAAATTTTCCTACCTTATTTCTTGGAAAGCCCTTCTTCTGAGGAAGAATCCCTTTGGCATACTTTGGATGGGGTTAGTTCTTTACGCATTTACCTTGATCGTACTAAAGAATTTAGTAAGTCAAATAGACTTTTATTGTGTCTTTTTTGTTACCATAAATGTATAACTGCCTCTGTTTCTACAATTAGGAGAGGGATTACTTCTGCGATTCAGAAAGCTTACAGGATATGTTGGGAGTGGGAGGTGGGGTGGGGTGGTGGGCGGTTTAGAGGAGTTTTGGAAAGCAAGGCTTAAAGGGACATGGTAAAAAATGATATATCTGGGGTCTCCCCAAATTTTATTTTGTTATATTTTATTTAGTTTTTATTTTATTTGGGTATATGTACCTGCAGGCCCAACTTGTATCTTGCTAGCATCAGGGTTAAACACCCCACTGATTAGAGAAACCCAACAGGGAAATACATAGCTATGGCGTGGGGCGGACAGTGTCCTCTTGCGGGTGATAAATGCTTCCCTAGAACCAATAGCGATCGGAGGAAAATTCTAGATTCTACTCCACACTGCACCATAGGGGAGGTAGGCTACCAAATCTGAAAGCTCCAAATCTAACCGGGGAAGTTGACTCCTCCCTCTCCCCAGTAGTTACCTTCAAACTTGACGCGGCACCAAAACTCTGCAATCACATATATAATATGGGATTTTAAAGGCACAACCCAGACAGGATATCCAAGGGGACGGCTATTGTAATACACAAATCCGTACCTTTTGTGGCGGACTCTACCATGACAGATCGTGAGGGCCGATATGTTTTCATTAGGGGACGAATCCTAGACGAATCCTGCACCTTTGCCAACATTTATGCCCTAAATACACGACAGGACAACAAATTCCTCCGGGCTACACTCCAAGCTCTGCAAGACTTTGACAGTGACAGGTTGTCTGGTTCTCGGGGGAGACCTTAATATTGCCATACAACCTACAACGGATGCCTCTAGAGGCCACTTACACCCCCCCCCCCCCACACACACTGCTCAAACTCCGCAAACTCCGCTTACGTACTGCTGGAGGGCGAACCATCCAACAGACAGGGACTATACGTTCTACTTCACCCCGAACGATTGATACACGCGCATAGACTGTTTCTTCCTCCCGTACTACTACCTGCCCAGACTACGGGACTCTTCCATAGGGGGGAGGGGCATATGGTCTGACCACGTGCCACTCACAATACAACTAACCTCACCGGTATATAAACCTAAGACCACTACATGGCGGCTCCACGAAAACCTTCTCTCTAATCCACAGGTGACCCAAGAAGTCCAGCGAGCTCTGACTAACTCTTTCACTGAAAACCGACCACAAGATACATCCCCTCTCCTGACCTGGGAGGCACACAAAGCTCTGCTATTAAAAAGGCAAGGTAACACACAATACGAGAATTAACTGACAAAATAGGGAACCTGACACATGCGCACAAACGAACACTGGACTGCACACACTTGAGAGAGCTTACATTAGTGCGTGAGGAATTATCAGAGGTCCTGTGTCATTTTGTATGGACCTATATGTGCTTCCCTCACACACCTCCCATGGGGAACCGCAGACAAATACAGCGCGCATCAGCTCCTCTCACTAAATATGCGACAACCAAGATTCCCGCAGACGCGAATGAGGCACCTCTGACGGAGGGGGAACTGACCTTCGCCATCAAAAACTTGAAGACAGACAAAAGCCGGGCCCGGACGGCCTTCCTCTCAAATACTATAAAACCTTCACGACCACCCTATCCCTTCAATTTGTTTCGGCTTTTAACTCAAAAATGGAGGGAAATACGATTCCCAAGCAGACAACATCAGCCAACATTATTCTATTGAAAAAAGAGGATGGGGATGCCGAGCGGTGTACAGGCAAATGCCGATCTCACTGCTAAACTGCGACCTACGACTGTTTGCCAAGATACTGGCAACGAGGCTGGGACCACACCTATCAGGCTTGATCTCATTTGATCAAGTAGGAATCATCCCTTATAGGGAAGCCAGGGACAATATGATACAAGCTCTATCACTGATCCATCAAGTGTTACGCACCATGTAGAGCCCACTCCTCTTTTCTCTACGGACGTGGAGAAGACCTTCGACAGGGTGGTATGGGACTACCTATTCGCGGTCCTGGAACACATAGGCCTGGGGAATCATAAGCATCAATGGATAGAGTCCCTTTACTCATCCTCCACGGCCAGAATGTGCATCGACGGGGTCTATACTGCCGCGTTCCCGGTCAGAAACGGAACAAGACAGGGTTACCCCCTGTCGCTACTGCTCTTCATCTTGGCCCTCGAACCATTCTTACAGGCAGTTAGGGACAACCCAGATATTACGGGGGTAGTGGTAGGGGTAGACTATCACAAAGTCGCAGCGTATGCAGATGATATGCTCTTCTTTTGTCGCCAAATCCTCAATATCGGCACTCCTCGGGGGAGGGCAGACCAGATTCAACGACGATTCCCCTTTCAATGGCAGGACACCGCTATTAAATACCTGGGAGTGAGGCTTATGGCTAATCTGACCAAACTATACCAAACCAACTTTGTCCCAATGTTAGGGGTTATACGGAAGAACTTAGCAGAATGGGCTACTCCCCACTTTTTGTGGCTCGGTAGGGTGGCCATAACCAAAGTGAACATCCTACCATGGGTACTCTGTGTTTCAAACATTACCAATCTCACTCCCCACTGCCTTTTTTACATCAATCCGCACCCTCCTCATTAATTTGATCTGGAAGGGCACTAAACCCAGACTCAAATACACACAACTTACACTCCCCAAAACAGCAGGGGGTCTGGCTGTTCCAGATCTCAAACTATACTACTTGGCATGCTATATGCAATGGACCTTAGAATGGGCTAAAGAGGGGGTACATAAACTCTGGAAGGCCATCAAAGCTCATCAAGCAGGCAGGCCACACTCTGCCCTCCTATGGCTTGATCCCGCTGTAAGCAGACGACTGGTTTCCCAACAACCGTTTATTACAGCCACTATGTCTATATGACACTCACAAGCAAGGAAATTACGCCTGTTCTCCTTCCCGTCCCTACTATTGCAATTGGTGTACAACCGAGACTTTGAGCCGGGGATAAGACTCAGAAACCTTTGCTGCGTACTTCCACAAGAAACCCCGAATCCAAGACATTACTGCTAATGGGAAAATCCTGCCCCTGTAAACACTCACCGGCACACCCACCCACAACTTCATGACTGACTTCAGATACACTCAAATCAAGAACTATGTCACCGCGATACCACAACACCCTGATATCCATAGAGACCTCACACCATTTGAACAACTATGTCAGGAACCGCACCCCATGCCCCATAGCGTCTCCTGCTTATATTCGATGATACAACAGCAGAGACTCCCTCCCCCACCCCCTTTCATGTCCAAATGGGAAACTGCCATCAGGGAAACACTCAGGGAGAGCTTGTTGCGACTATAGGGGGAGGGACCTGAGGATCCTCAGTAGTAGACACTGGGAGGCAGGTGAGCTGATCCACACCCGCTTTAATACGACATTCTCCCCTTGCCCTACCTCTCATTCCCGCTTCATCTCCTTCTCTTCCATCCTGTCTTACATGTTCCCAGCTTGCACCGCTGCAATCTATAATGAATACGGCTGCGAGGCTTATTTTCCTGTCCGGTCGCACCTCCCACGCCTCCACGCTCTGTCAGTCCCTGCATTGGCTTCCAGTTAGATATAGGGCCCAATTCAAAATTCTGGCGCTTGCTTACAAATCCCTACATAATGCTGCTCCAACATACCTATCTTCCCTCATACACAAGTATGTCCCGACGAGACCCCTGCGCTCAGCCCAAGACCTACTCCTATCCTCTGCCCGGATCCCCACCTCTGATGCTCGCCTTCAAGACTTCTCCAGGGCTGCACCTATTCTGTGGAACTCCCTTCCCTCCTCAATCAGACTTTCACCCAGCCTCCATTCCTTCAAAAAATCTTTGAAAACTCACTTCTTTATTAAAGCGTATCAATTAAACTGTCAGCAGGTTTCTCATCCCCCACCCCATGACTCCGTTCCTTCACCTGTCAAAAATGACCTACCAAGCACTCAATAAACCCCTCTGTAACAAACTATTTAATTCCCCTACTTTAACCCTTTGTGTCACTATACCCCACTCCCTCTAGCATGTAAGCTCATCGAGCAGGGCCCTCAACCCCCTCTGTTCCTGTACGTCAGTGGTCTGATCTCAATTATGTGTCTGTTAGTCCACCCATTGTACAGCGCTACGGAATTTGTTGGCGCTATATAAATAATAAAATAATAATAATAATAATCCTCTTCTTCGAGGGACCTGTTCTCTGAGGCTCTGGGTGTGGCCCAGGGAGTGACCACACGAGGTGCACTCGTCTGCCTAACACATGAAACACACTCCCAACCAGGAGCTGAGCAGCTGGGGTCAAACCATTTTACCTTACATGATGCAGTTGCTTACCAATCCTGAAATTGAAACACGATTGCACGCACTTGAAATATATGTACTGGGATCTGTGTGTCACTTCTTGAGATTTCAAGGGACCTGCGAGTCCTAAGCTTTATTCCCTAACTGAAAATAAAAGCCAACAACTTTAAGTTGAAGGGAATTTACAAAATGTGGATAGTGTGACTGAGACCCGTAAGTTTAGTTTGTTACAGTCTTTATTTTATACTGTTAGACAGTTGGATATCCTACATCATACCTCTATTAGCAATGTATGTAACACAACATTGAGACCAACTGAGTTATTATGAGGATGTATTATCCTATTACAATGTGAGAGGAGATTGCATTCCTAACTCGGTTGTTCTTGTCAGTAAAGTGACATGCAAAGTCACTAGCTGTGATGTTATTTAAAGGATCACTATAGAGTCACGAACACAAACGTATTCCTTACCCTATAGTGTTAAAACCACCATCTGGGCCCCTCATGCCTCCATAAATATAGCAAAATCTTACTGTATTCAAGCCTGAAGCTGTAAGCTGTAACTCTGCATGCTGTTTTACCCCTGGGGTGGAGCATTTGGAGAGAAGGGTGGGCCAATGCTCCACTCCACAGTTTAGTGGTTTTCTGGGGAGACATAGATCCAGGCCAGGGTTTTTTGGACCGTCTCCAACCCACTGCTCAGGTGCAGTTAATGAGCTATTGTAGTGGTAATAAGCCCCTCCCTGCTAGGCAGGTAAAGGAGAGGGATTGCTGGCTTCCTCCCAGGAAGCAGGTAGGAGAGAGAGGCTGTTCTCTCCAGATAGTCAAGGAGACTAGGCACTTGGAGTGCAGAAAGGAAGCAGTCAGGGCAAGACTGGCTTGGAGCACTGGGAGTGCAGATAGGAAAGCAGTCAGGGCAAGGCTGGCTTGGAGCACTGGGAGTGCAGAAAGGAAAGCAACAGGTTAGATAGCAGAGCGTTGCTCTCTAATAAGGTTGGTGCAAGATTGTGTTTGGTTTCTATGAGTGGAAACAGAGAGCTGAAAACCCTGAAGCAGTAAGGCTGTTTATGTTTATGTTTATGTTTATGTTTATGTTTATGTTTATGTTGAAAAATGGACAAGCCATCCAACCCAGTTAGCTGATTATTTTGTTTAGTTAGTGCTCAGAAGAGCAAGGCTTTTGTTTGATATATTTTTGTTACCTTTATACCTTACTGTGCATTTATTTTGGAACCTCAATAAAAGAGCAAGTCAGTTTACCTCATCCAGCGTGTGAAGTGTCTCTAAAGCCTGAAAAGACTGTGTGTAACACCCCAATCCCAGGACAAGGTACCAAGGGAAAGGAGTACTTTTGTCACATATGGTGGAGAATGCGGGCAGCACACGGCAAAGTCTGTAAGTAGGGAGAAAGAGACTGCTGAGAAAATGGAGGATGTCATGAAAGCTTTGCTCCAGTCCACTGCTGTACAGCAAGAGACAAACAGGAGGACTGCAGAGACTAATGCAATACAGCAAGAGAGCATTTCAATACTGCAGCAGCTTGTACTGGCTCAAAAGGAAAATACAGATGCTTTATTCAAGCAAGTTGAAGCAACACAGGCAGCAGCGCATCAAGTGCTCAGAGAGGAGCAGCAGCGTGCCACATGTGTCATACAGCAGGAGATCCAGAGTCTATCACAAAGGCTGGCCAGGGATGCCACAGACCTACCACAATGTCCAAAGGTGATCACAGTGAGTCCCTACTTGCAAAAGATGGTATCCACAGATGATGTAGAAGCCACCTATGTACACCCAAGTGAACAAGTCAAAGGCATGAAAAGCAGACTGACTTGGGGAGTCAAAGAAGACAACAGCAGAGGAGCTGAGCAAAATGGAGAGAAGCAAGGCACCCCAATTGAGTATAACAATGCGGTGCACTGTTTAGTAGCAGAGGCTACCCAAAAATGGCAACCAGCTGTTGGACAGTTTGGCAGAGAAAAGCAAGGCAGAGAAGTAGTGGCAAAACGAAGTCAAAATAAGAAAGGCAAAGTAGCCGCTTCTGATCTAAGCCAAGAGAGAGCGACAGTTACAGAACCAAGCTGTGATGATAAGATGGGCACGTCCGCAGCTAAGCCAGACCAAGGCGAACGTCACAAAGTAGGTGACATTGGCATAGCAGAATTAAATATTTCAGAGACACCTGGTATAGCTACAAAGACTGTGAATGATTGTTCGGGAGCCGTAGAACTGGAACTGCTGGCAAAGACTACTGCTACAAGGCCTGGGCGCACTGACTACCTGGAACAGCTGCCAGATTCTGGGAACACAGTCATGGAATTAAAGGCGGGACTCGGACTGCCTGACCGGCTGTTTGATACCGGGGCTATCATGATCCAGCGAGAGGCCATGACTGCGTCTCTGGACACCCCCAAGGGAACAGGGAGACCGCCAGACAGCCCAGAGGAACGAATTGCTGACATTGAGAGGTGGCCACTCAAGGCTGAGCAAGCAGAGGATACCCCTGGGGAGGAAACCAGGCAAAGGAAAGATGAGCTACGCAGGGAGTCTGGGCCTCCGGCACAAGAACAGTGCTCCATACGAGACCAGACTGAGAAAGAACTCAGATGCTTCAATTGCCATATGCAAGGACATATTGCATATAACTGTCCTGAGAGTGAAGAGCCAATACAATGTGACATAGGAATAATGGCTCTGCATAGGATTGTATTGACTTGCTTAAAGATGTGTATGGTGACTGGTGGTGGTGTTACAGCACAGCTAAAAGTGGTGATGGTGGTAGGGAAGAGTGCACAAGCACTGATAGATTCAGGGAGTGAGGTTACTTTGATGAAAAGTGTTCTGTTCCTGCCAGAGTATGCAGCTGCCTACCTTGATGTGGTGTTTAACAGGGTGGACTGGGTAGCACACCTGATGAAGGTCCGGTTAGTTGTGATTAATGTAAAGGCTGCCGGTTTGACCGCTAACACTGCTAACTATTTGGGTTTTCCACTTGGGTGGGGGCTCCTTAAACTACAAGGGAGCAAGGTAGCAGCCATCTGCAATAGGCCACTTCCTGTAACTGAGAAGCTAGTCAGGGCTGGTAGAGGCCTAGGTGTTATGAATGTTCACGGTTTGTGTTCTAAGGCCGCTCGACCCGATGGGTCTGAGCTGGGGAGGAGGATATGTGATAAAGTGAAGGCAGATAGGCCTTTTAACCCCAGGGGGAGTATGTGTAGGATGTGTTGTAGGCAACACAAAATGCTGTTTAGTTATGGGCCCCTGGGGTGGAGCATTTGGAGAGAAGGGTGGGCCAATGCTCCACTCCACGGTTTAGTGGTTTTCTGGGGAGACATAGATCCAGGCCAGGGTTTTTTGGACCGTCTCCAACCCACTGCTCAGGTGCAGTTAATGAGCTATTGCAGTGGTAATAAGCCCCTCCCTGCTGGGCAGGTAAAGGAGAGGGGTTGCTGGCTTCCTCCCAGGAAGCAGGTAGGAGAGAGAGGCTGTTCTCTCCAGATAGTCAAGGAGACTAGGCACTTGGAGTGCAGAAAGGAAGCAGTCAGGGCAAGACTGGCTTGGAGCACTGGGAGTGCAGATAGGAAAGCAGTCAGGGCAAGGCTGGCTTGGAGCACTGGGAGTGCAGAAAGGAAAGCAACAGGTTAGATAGCAGAGCGTTGCTCTCTAATAAGGTTGGTGCAAGATTGTGTTTGGTTTCTATGAGTGGAAACAGAGAGCTGAAAACCCTGAAGCAGTAAGGCTGTTTATGTTTATGTTTATGTTTATGTTGGAAATGGACAAGCCATCCAACCCAGTTAGCTGATTATTTTGTTTAGTTAGTGCTCAGAAGAGCAAGGCTTTTGTTTGATATATTTTGTTACCTTTATACCTTACTGTGCATTTATTTTGGAACCTCAATAAAAGAGCAAGTCAGTTTACCTCATCCAGCGTGTGAAGTGTCTCTAAAGCCTGAAAAGACTGTGTGTAACACCCCAATCCCAGGACAAGGTACCAAGGGAAAGGAGTACTTTTGTCACAATATATATATATATATATATATATATATATACACACACACACAAAAGACTTATTCAACTAAAGAAAAACACAGCCAGTTATTACAAGGGGTCCCGTAGGGGGGCCCAGAGTGGTTGTGGCATCTATATAGTGCCTGACGCAGAGCGCCACGCAGAGTGACTGTATTTTCGGAAAGTAAGGGTAGAATACGGAGGAAGAATTAGTCTTTGTTCGTCTGGTGATGTGCCTTCAGGCGAGAAGACTACTGCGTGGAAATCAAATGCTCGAATATCAGAGACCCTACGGAAGGATACCAGACATAGGAGTAAGGCCAATTTGGCTGAGAGTTGACGTAGCGTCAAATTCCCATTAGAGGGCCAGGATTCTAGAAGGGAAAAAACCTGAGTGACATCCCAGAAACAGGAGTATTTAGGAAGAGGGGGTCTGGCTAGCCTGATCCCTCGTAAAAGTCTACAGACTGAAGGATGTTTTCCTATTGATGCATTGTCAATAGGGTTGTGGGCTGCAGAAATAGCTGATCTATAAACATTAATTGAACGATAGGACTTGCCTTGATCAAATAGGGTAGACAGAAAATTTAGGATGAGCGTCAGAGGTGCTGAAAAGGGATCGGTATCCCTTCCCAAACACCAGCTGACCCATGTCTTCCATGCAGCGAGGTAAGCTCGTGTAGTGCCTGGGGCCCAGGAGTCCCATAGGAGAGCCTGAGTTGTCTCCGAAAGTCCTGAGACATTCCAAGATCCCTTGAAACGGTCCAAGCTACAATTTGGAGCCGGTTCTGAAGGGCGAGTGGGTGACCGTGCCCTGCTGGGTTCCTGAGGATGTCGGGGGATCGAGGTAGTAGAATTGGACAATTCACAGACAGTTCTAACAGGGTTGGAAACCAAGTCTGGGCTCTCCTTAGTGGAGTGACAATGACTATCGTCACTACTAGGGCTTTGACCCGGTAAAGGGTGCGTTGGATCATGGAGAAAGGTGGGAACGCATAAGCTCCTGTCTCCGGCCAAGGATGTAGAAAGGCGTCGACTGCCCATGACTGGGTGTTTGGGAGCCAGCTGATAAAGGCCTCCGCCTGGCGGTTCAGACGGGATGCAAACAGGTCCAGTGTAAGGGGCCCGCGAAGGCAATGAATTTGATGGAACAAGCGGGGGTCCAATTGCCAGTCGGTTACATACCTCCAATGGTGAGAGAACCAATCTGCGACTAGGTTGTCCGTGCCCGGAAGATATTCCGCTCTGATGGATAAATTCCGCTCTAGGCAGAATTGGTAGAGATCATTGGTAAGGTCGGATAGTACCTTGGATCGTGAGCCTCCTACCCGATTCACATAGCGCACTGCAGAGACGTTGTCCATGCACAGTACTAGTGAACAATTGAAACAGTCTTTTGCGAAACTGCGAATCGCGAATGATCCTGCAATCAATTCCAGACAATTGATGTGCAGTGCTTGTTCGGAGGGGGACCATAGTCCCTCGGTGGATCCTTTGGCGCACGTGGCGCCCCATCCCAGGAGACTGGCATCGGATTCCAGAATGAAATCTGGTTGTGATCCGAAGATGGCTTTGCCATTCCAGGCTTCCATATTGTGGAGCCACCAGTAAAGTTCTATATGAACTTCGTCTGTCAGGTAGATGTACTGATCGTAAGAGGTGGAACGGTGTAGGTAATATGTCTTGAGCCGTTGCATGGCTCGGTAGTGTAAAGGTCCTGGGTAAATGGCTTGGATAGAGGCAGACAGTAGGCCTATAGTATGGGCCAGATCACATAAGCGAATCTGATGGGCTGATAAAAATTTGCGAATGTCTTTTTTTTTTTTTTTTTTTTATGATTTAGATTTTTGCAGAGGGTGGATGTAAAATTGCCTGTACGGAATCTATCAGAAAACTGAGAAACTGAACCTTTTGGGAAGGTTCCAGGGCTGACTTCTGGAAATTTATTACAAAACCAAGGTTTTGTAGTAAGACCGTCGTCATGTCCGTGAGTTGGCGTAAGAAGTCTGCGTCTTGTGCCATTATCAGGATGTCGTCCAAGTATATGATGGACCGAATCCACTGTGATCGGAGTAGCACCATCACTGGTTTAATCAGTTTCGTGAAACACCATGGTGCGGAGCATAGTCCAAACGGGAGGCATGTGAACTGCCAGATTTCCTCTTGCCAGAGCAATTGAAGGAAAGCTCGATGGTTGCGAGCAATAGGAACTGTGAGGTATGCGTCTTTGAGATCGAATCTGGTGAACCAATCTCCCACGCAAAGGAGGTCCCTGAGCAGATGGATGCCCTCCATCTTGAAGTGGCGATACCTGACAAAGTGATTCAGGTTTTTCAAGTTGATAATTGGGCATAGGTCTCCAGTTTTTTTTGTGGACCAGAAAAATGTTGCTGAGAAATGTATGTGGGAACGGGGATTTTTCTATTGCCCCTTTTTTTACTAGCTTGTGCAGTTCGGTTTGTAGTGTCAGGTTGTAAGATGCAGACATCTGTAGTGGTGTAGGTGGTGTGTCTTGGAAAGGGGTGGAAAGGAAATCTATTTTGAACCCCTGGACTGTGTATAGGATCCATAGATCCTGAGAAAGTAATTCCCACTGTTGGAAAAAACTGTTTAGTCGACCTGCTATAGGTACATTGAAAAAAGGGAGATTGATTACCTGGAGCAGTTCTTCCGCGTAGGGAGGCAGATCCACGTCCCCGGATAGACCCTCTATTAATGAATAGTTGCCTGTGGTAGGGTCGGGGTTGTCCCGATTGCCAATAGTTCTCCGAAGGGCGAGGCCTGTAGCCTGTAAAGGCAACTCTGCTGTTCGTTCGGCCTCTATAACGTCCAGCTCTCCCAGAAAAACGACCTGACTGAGAACGAAAAACCCTGCACAAGGAGGATTGGGCCTTATTTAGGGTGGTGAACACCGCTACATGTTTGGAAAGATCCCTCATGAACGAGTCTCCAAACAGTAATCCATTTGCCTCTGGTCCCAGTTCTCGGGAGCTCAGATCGGCTAATTTTGCATCTAGCTTGTATAGTGCCGCCCTGCGTCTCTCAGTGGACATAGCCACATTTGCGTTGCCTAGGAAACATAAGGCTCTCTGGGCCCACTCTCTGACTGTGTTTGGGTTGAATTCCCCACTAGATAAAGCTTCGTCCACTAATATGAAAATTTGAATTATGGGGCCAGCGATGTCCAGGAGTTTATCCTGGGCTGTCTTAAGACCCTGCTCAATGCCCTTGCGAGGGTCTTTCCCTGTCTTGGTGAGAAAAGTGACAAATAGTGGGTCAAAGTCTGGCGTGAGAGCCACTTTGTTTGGAATGGTTGGTCGAGGGCACTCAGCTCTGAGTTTTGCCCTGATTTCTTTTTCAAGTGGTTTGCGTAACCACATCTTACAGAAGTTAGAAACATGGTCTGGTGGGGCCCATTCTGCCGACCGTGGATGTCTGATGACCCTGGGGTCAAACAAAGGGACACCCGAAGCATCCAGAAGGATGTCTGAATCGGGTCCTTTCTGTATAGGTGTTTTTGCATCTGTGTCTTTGTGTGATAAAAGTCTCCTTGACAAATTCCGATGGGGTATCCCCTAGCGCAATCGCCGAGGGGTCCTCATCAGAATATCCAAGGTAATAATCTTCAACCCCGTCTTCCTCGTGGTATGTAGAACCCTCTAAGGGGTTGGAATTGGCATGAGCGTGGCGAGTGGCAGTCAATTTTTGGGACGTGGCAGGAGCCTTACCCTTGCCCACAGACCTACTGTCCCCTTTCCATGGGCGCTTGCGTGAAACTGAGCCGCGGACTCCTGGGAAATTTTTTTTTAAACCTTTTCAATGCTACCTGTCCTGCAAGAGAGGAAAGGGTAGCTACCCATTTGTAATGTCTACCGCTTTGAATTTTTTGGGTATTTCTCCTGCTTTTATCACAATTTTTCTACAAGTGACATGCATTTGTTGTGTCTTTAATTGTATTATCTAAGCTGAATTTTATTGATTTGCACTATGTATCATTTTTTTGAGGGGGGGGGGAGAAGGGTTATTTTGACATAAAGATATACATTCTCCCCCTTTGGTAATGCAGGCGGATGCATGGGCTTAGACACACAAAGTTGGCTAGGCACAGTGCGGTAGCGTCCACAATGTTTTTTACTGTTATGTTATTTCTTAATAATCACTAGTAATTTGTTCCACGCATTCCGTTTACCACAACTGCCTCTAGGAGGAACGCCTTGTTTGGCCTAACAACGCCTAAGTTTAACAAAGGTACGCCACCGTGGCACCCTCTTATAATGTAAACCGACCTTTTCATATAGACACGCAACGAGACAGCTACCTTCCCCCTTCCCCATGGCCCCATAGGTTAGGGGGCATCATTATCCAGATCAGGAGTTCTAACCCAATTACAAAGCTACTCATGGTCTAGACCGTAACTCGCTCAGAGACAAAGATCAACGCCGTTACTACTTAACGTTCTCTTACTCCTATGCTCTTCTAGCTAAAGAAAAAGGGCTATTTCACAAAAGATGTTAAAACTCATGTATAACCGCAATGTTCTTATCGGGAATGTCTTTTGCTTTGTTCAACTACATTGAATCACCCGAACAAAATAAAGAATTAAAAAAATATATATATACATTCTATGGTTATGTTAAAGTAAAGCAGTACAATTTATTGGCATAAGTATTTTTAATAGGATTTCTGCACCACTTTGGTACATTTTTGAGTAGATTTATGTCACACAATTGGGTGGTTGGCACATATGCTAATTTTAACCTATTATTGCACCGTATTCTGTGATTGCACATTGATTTTGATTATTTTTAGCAATTAAAATTTGTGCATCAGCCCTACTATTTTTAGAAAAAAATGTCTAGAAATACTCACAGTGGCCACACTACTGGTTTACGCTAAATCATGCATTTTGCAGGGGGTTGAGGGGGATGGGGGTTAAAAACATTTTAATTTCTGTTATTCCAACATAATGTTCATACCTTTATTAATCTGTTTATAAGGGGCACAGGGTATTGACATGTGCCTTTTAAGCACATTGTCTTTAATATTATTGTATTTAATTCTTACCAAAGTGACATAACATTCTTATCAACGTTTTCCTTTGATAGAATATTACTTATAATGTAGTAATGAAATAGATACTACTTGGTATGAAGGCTGGTTACATAGATACACAGCTGAAAAGAGACTTGCGTCCATCAAGTTCAGCCTTCCTCGCGTATGTTTTTACTGTTCCAAAAGAAGGCAAAAAAAAATCCCAGTCTGAAGCGCTTCCAATTTTGGAACAAACTAGGAAAAGTTCCTTCTTGACCTCAAAATGACAGTCAGATATCTCATTGGATCAAGCAGCTGTTACCACACTAATTAGAAATTATATCCCTGTATGTTATGTTTTTGGAAGTATTTATCCAATTGCTGTTTAAACATCTGTATGGAATCTGATAAAACCACCTCTTCAGCCAGATAATTCCATATCTTTATAGTTCTTGCCGTAAAAAAAACCTTTCCTTTTCCTTAGATTAAATCTTCTTTCTTCCAGCCTAAATGCATGCCCTCATGTCCTATGTATAGCCCTGTTTATGAAGAGATTTCCAGATAATGGTTTGTACTGGCCCCGACTATATTTGTATAATGTTATCATATGCCCTCTGAGGCTCCGTTTTTCCAAACTAAAGAGATTTACTTTTTTCTGCTTTCTGAATGTACATCAATGTGTTTCTTTTTATTGTACAGCCTCTGACCTACCTAACGGAAATGGCAACACTGCTCCAGGATCAACCACAGCACCTGCTCACCCAGCCAGTGGACGTATCACACGTAGTCAACCCAACCATTCCGGCTCGGGAGCTCCCAACTCAGTCAGCAACGGCAAAGAGACACGTCGAACAGGAAAAAGATAGCAACTTTCCTCCCCTCACCCATATCATATCAGAGCCTCAGTTTCCCCTTTCTTACAAAGGGCAAGTGAAGAGCATCCAGATAGATAGTTTTACCTTTCACTCTTACCAGATCGAGGCACATTTATGTCTGCACAAGTTACTGGTCACAAGAGGTGCAGGCGGTCCTGTGTTCAGATGGATCTTTGAATATCAATTGTAACTAGAGTCATTGAGAGCCTTAAATGATTACAAAACCTTGGTGCAAAGTCAGGCATATGGAAGTTTAAAAGATACAGAGGAACTACTGCAGTGTAGGCCTTGGAATTGCCTTTGGGTAATACATTTTAAATTATTTTAGTATTGTATCCAATTACAGGAAATGGAATTCAAAGGAAAACTAACCAGCATGCCTATTCATGGCTTTAGAGCTTGGCATTTTACTATGGTAGAATTGTGTTGTTTGTGACAAATGAAGCAATGATTTTATATACTGTATATGATACATTTTTATAATAGCAGCTGTCATTTGCACAAGTATCCACGTACATCATATTGAATATGTGTACAAAAAACAACAACTAAACATTATATGGATCTTTTTAGGATGTTAGCAATGGTTGAAAATACAGCTAGGCATTTTAATAATTATTCTCAAGCACCAAATGTATCCATTATGAATACTTAATTGTTTACATGGTAAATCCAGACTAGTTCAAAAAGACAAGATACGTTCACTTGTACATCATTATGTAACCGAGATCTGAGACCATATTGTTTTATGGCACTTGTGATGGGGGAACTTTACTGTCTCACTGATTTGTGGGTTTGTCTAAAAACTGCTGTGAATTGTAATGTATGCAAGGAAAAATGTCTTAATTTTTACTCCTATGCCTTCCAATGAGGTTACTGGACCTTACTTGCTAAATAATGACTTCTTAGTCTTTGTGTTGATCCAAATTATCATCCAGAGTTAGCTGGAAAACCAAATCTATACTTCTATTGAATTGGACATTTAATAGTTTTTCCCACTGGGGCTGTTATGTCCTTTTGCAGCTCTGTTATCTGTTAGCTCTGTTATCTCTGTTATCAACTTGTTAATAAAAGTTGTTTTTTTAGTGGCTATAGAGCCACCATACACAAGCTGCTCCACAAAAAAAAACAAGCTGAGCAGAGTTGCCTTGGGTATGTCTGTATAGTTGGAAATCATGAGTATACTAAAAACCCCACTTCCCACTTTCTGTAGTATTACAAGGTATTGTGTATTTAATACACAATATTCAATAAAAAAAATGTTTTTGCTTTTTTCCAACTAATGTTCTTAAAATGATATAAATTATTTTGAGCTAAACCATTTCCGTAAAACAACATTGGCAAGTAATAGCTCTATAATTCACAGATATTTGTAGCACTGTGTCACTGACATACGAGATTATCTGCAATTGTCAATCCACACTTTTCAACATCTGAACAGTCTACTCAATGGTATAAACTAAGCAACCTCATAATGACAAAATACTGTCATGTTATTATTTAACCAAAGAGGAAGAACTCTGCATTCATACTATTGTTAATCTAAATCATAAAATATTGATTACATTAAAAATATAATCAAAAACGTCTAGAACCCCTTAGAATGTATCATAATATGATTATTGTACAGATCTAAAGGTAATAGAAATATAAAAAAAACTATTAGTTAACTGGCACCAAAGTAGCCTAATCAGTAGCAGCAATGTAAATACTGAGTGGAATTAACTCCCCGTAAGGTCTAATATAGGCACTCAAATGAAGTGTGGGTCCTGGAGAAGAATAAAGTAGAGGTGCTGGTATATATTCAAATGGCGTTCCTCTTGATAGAGCTACTTAAATGTACGTGCAAGATGAATACTCCGCCTGACCAAACATATGAAACACTCTGAGAATGAAGCAGGATGCCCTCGGCATACTGACAAGCCAACGTCTACACGTTAAGCCAGCTCTGGAGTTTTTTCGCTCACTCTTCAGGTTTTAACCCTTTATATGGATGGATCAGCACTTAGCCCTATCCTTGAAAACACTTGTTGTGCCATCAATCATAGGATACAATGCAAATATGAGCTGAACATAGTAAAACCAAACAGGAATACACAACTGAATTGTGACAAATAAAGCTAAAAATAGTAAAGCAATTTGCCAATAATATAACAATAAAAACCAACAAAACTTTGTTCTCTATTACTACAATGTTAAACTGAATCCCAAGAATCAGTGTTCTCAATAATATGTTTGCAAGTAGAACACTTCACTGAATTACATCTCAAAGTACCAGATGCCCAAAATTCTCAGGTGCCATGATATTATAAATATTCTTGGGTTTCCTATAAGTTATTCTTCAATATTCAAACAGAGATAGACCTAACCATTTTTTAACCTTTTTAATATTAGCCAGTATTTATACAAAATGTACTAAAAAATTTTTATATGCCACATTATATTTTGTAAGGTGTAAGGCCAGGATCCAAACTCCCTCTTGTGTGTTTTGCTGTGTTAAATAAATTCTAATCTATCTGAGGTATTGGTTCAGAGTGTATATTGGACTTTTCCATATCAAGGGAAATTGTTCAAGACCATACATTGAATGTTGATTGTGAACCAAACATACACATTCTATTCAAAGATCTAGCCCTCAGATAGGCTTTATGGAGCAACTGCCACGAGTATTCTGTTTTCCATAAAATGCCCAATTAAGTTAAGGCATTCTCTATCAAAATCGCATGTATGAATGCCATAAACTGGCCAAAGGGTATATTATTAACCCACTAGATCTGATGGGCACAATTAAAATAGAAATATCTAATCACATCTATAGGCTTCTGGTAGGTATTGTTAACTATTAAGGATTATTTATACCATAGAGTAATTTTTTTTTCTTGGCTAATTGTCATGTCAGCATCACATATGGGTAGCTCCACTCCCAATCCAGATTAGGGCAGAAACAATTAGGCAATTAATCAGACTGTAGGTATAAAAGATCCCTCCTCCATCCATACCCCAGTCTAGTTAAAAAGCTCAGAATAATCTTAAAATCGGTATGGTATGAACATTCCTTATTCCTTGATAATCATGACAGCATCACGTATGGGTAAATCCCAAGCCAAGAAATTTAAGGGGGCATGTAAATAACACACCAATATGAAAATTTAAGAGTGCCAGTAAACACATTTATATTGTACAGAAGACACTGCAGACAATACATCTCTCTCAAGAGAGGTAGAAGATGCTACGTCCAACTTGTAGTGCTTAATGAAGGTCATTGGGGATGAGTAAGTGGCTGCCATACAAATTTTGTCAGAAGGAACCTCTGCCCAATTAGCCCATTAAGTCGCCAAAGTTCTGGTTGAATGACTTCTAATCTTGTCAGGGGGACACCTGTTTTTTAAATGGTACACCTTCAGAACAACATTAGAAATACAAGCTTTGATGGAATACCTACGACTAGTTGGGTTGTCACTGCCAACCTCTCCCTTTCCCTTGTGTTTATAGCCCCAGAGTGATTAAAGCTCCTTGCAGCTGCGTTATAGTTGTCTCACCTAAACACTAATCAAGACTTAGTGAAGTGTGAAGAACTGGTTTACTGTCGCAACAGGTCACATTTTTATATCTGAGGTCTCAACAGGAGATCCCCAGGGAAAGCAAAGGAACTGCAACTTCCCTGGCGCCTTGGTGTCTGTACCTGAGTATGTAATTCAATTAGCCGCCAGACACCTTGGCACCGGGGTACAAAACATACAATAACCTGGGTTCCCATGCCCATGTCCCCACAATACTGTTGTCCCCAGGAAGCTTGTGTCAGAGCACCCACTCTGTCAGGACATGGTTAGCCTGATTTAGGTGGAAGTCGAAGTTTCAATGGATTGTGGCTAGCTTCCTATCTGGCACTTAGTTCCATGCTGCTGGGTAGAGTTCATGGGTCACCTTAAATGATGGCGCTTTTGGTTGGTACATGGAGCTCCCTCAAGTCCTTAGTGTTGCTGGATACCTCACCAACTTCTCTGTCCACCCTGATTGATGGTTCTAGGACCGAGCTTGCCTTAGTCAAAGTTTTACAATACTGCTGCAACTCCACAATCCGATCAGCATTTACAGATGATTTGGGATTAACTGGCTGGCTTCTATATACTCCTGGGCCAGGGAAAGAGCGCTTAGCAAGGAGGCATGGGCTGGAGATAGACAATTGTAGTGATATAGTCCTTTTCGGAGAAGGTGGCAGCTGGGAGACGTACCAGTTCTATGTCCTATGTAACCAGATGGTCTGTAACAAATCTGCTTCTCCTTTTCTGTATTCAGATGGAAGAATGAATAATTGGCTAGATTTTTGAAGGTCTGGGATACCAACAAATATTTAATGATGCATTCTCTAACATCCAGTTGATATAGTTTAACTTCTGCAAAACCACTTTCTGCAAAATCTCTTTCTGAGTCAGATGGAAATTTGAGACAACTTTCAGTAAGAATTCATGCTTTGGTCTCAAAACCACCATGTTGTGGTTAGTATGGGTTTCCTCACATTAAAAAAAGATCCTGGATCATGGATATCCTTTTGGCAGACATAATGGCAACGAGAAACATACATTAGCATGGTTGAGTTTAGCTCATCTAATGGAGCTAAATATTTTTCTGTTAGAGCACTTAACACTAGAGGAAGGTCCTATGGTGGAGAATAATTACTTTAAGATGGTCTAATTCGTAAAATTTCTTTAAAAATCTCATTATTAAAGGTTCAGATGCCCAAGAGGTATTACGTAAGGTTGATAAGGCTGAAGTCTATACCCTCAGATTACTTAAGCATAGTCCTTTATCAACACCATCTTGGAGAAATTCTAGAATATGATAATGAAAATTATTAAGGAAATCCACCCCATATTGCCTGCCCAGAACTTGAAAGTCTCCCAAACTCAATGATAACATTCTGAAGTAGATTTTTTTCTGGATCTTATGAAAATGACAGCTTCTGACAAACCTAATTGTAGGAGTCAAGCAACCAAGTTTAGATGTTGAGGGTTGGGATGAACTGCAGGGCCTTGTGTTAATAAGTCCCTTCTCCTTGGTAACAGCCAGTGTTCCTCCAGCCTCATTTTGCTTAGGAGAGGGAACCAAGCTCTCCTCTGCCATACATGATTGCTATTACTTTCTTCCCTTCTAACAAAATCTTCCTCAATAGGTGGTGAATCATGGGTAGGGGAGGGAACGCATACTCCATATCATACCTGCATGGTTGAGGAAATATGTCTCGACTCACTGAACAATTGTCCAGATGTAGAGAAAACTTTTTATGTTTTTACACTTGTAGATATGGATTCCATCTTGAATGTTCTTTCTTTCAGCATGGAGTTTAACTTTTTTAGAACGAGTATAATCTCCACCGTCCTTGGGGTTTTGGAGCTTGGAATACTGTAGAGTAATGGACCTTGAATCTTTCTCTTTGAGGTACAACCTCTATCAATCTTTGATCTATGAGTTTTTTAAAATAAAATTTCTCATTGCTTATTCTTTTATGCCTTTTGCCCCTTGTACCTTTCTGAATGTGGTCTTTTTGGGTAAGGATGCAAACTCTATTTTGTATCCTTCTCTGATCATTGATAGTACCCACGAATCTGTAACATTTTTGGTTCATGCAGGGTAAAACAATTGAAGCCTCAGGGATAAAAAAAATCACAAAACATGCAACAAGGAAAGAAAGCAGCCTAACCAAACCCATCCTTTAGTCTCTTTAAATAGGGCTTGATTTGGTGATTCCTTAGGTGTCGTCCGTTTTCTGGAATTCAGTTGGTCCAGAGGTTTTTTGTTTATCTGTGATAACTGTAGTGTCTTCGTAATATTCCCAGGCACTCTATGTTCACTTGATTATAGACCGGAAGCGGAAATTAAGTCTGTTTACTACTTCCGTGCATTCCACTTGTGCATTCCATCTAATGAGTACATTATTTGAAAGCAGCTTCTATTAAGTAGACTCTTTCAAGTAGGAGTTAGAAAACCAGGAGTTGCTTGGAGTGGTTTGTATACTGTGGAGAGTGGTTTGTATTTTATTTTTGTTTAATCTTTAAAATTGGTAAGGTTTAAAAAATAAAAAAGTGTTTGTTTTTTAAATTTTCTTTTTTTTTTTCTGTGTTCTGGTTTCCCCCCCTTTTTTTGTGCTGCTGCTTGATTGATTGGGGGAGTGTTCATTAATTGCACCTGTGTGGGATTTGTATCCCCATAAAGGCACACCCCTAACTCACTGAGCTTGCTCACATTATTTGAAAGCAGCCTCTATTAAGTAGACTCTTTCAAGTAGGAGTTAGAAAACCAGGAGTTGAAACAAGCAAGAGGTTTAAGCTAATAAGGTAATTGTTTTAATTTTCTGTTTCTGGGGAAATGAGTGTTAGCAAGATTACTGGTTTGACTCAATGCACATCTTGTTGCATGTATGGATGCCTGGATGTACCCGTCCAGGGTCCATACCTCTGTGATGGTTGTGTGCGAGTGGCTTCTCTGGAAGCTCAGATTGGAGATCACGAGAAGCAAATCGCAACTTTGAGGGAGATTGACAATCTTGAGAGGAGTCTGCTGCTCACTGAGCAGAGTTTAGTGGGGACAGGTAGTGGAGAGGGAGGAGATAAGACAGATGGGGAACAGGCATGTAGCTGGGTGACAGTGGGGCGAGGAAGCAGGGGGGGAGGGAAGAGGAAAGGGCTAGCTAGTCCTGATTTGGTGCAACCTAGCAGATTTGCCCGTTTGAGGGAAGATGTTGGGAGCATCAGCTCAGGAGTAGCTGTATTAGAGGAAGCTGTTACTTCTAACAGCCGAGCTAACAGCCCCCCTAGTACGGGTGGGGATCAAAATGTAAGGAAGGCAAGACAGGTTGTGGTGGTAGGGGACTCTATCATTAGGAGAGCAGATAGGGCAATCTGCCACTCTGATCGGCTCAACCGGACAGTTTGCTGTCTCCCGGGTGCTCGGGTCCGGCATGTTGCTGACAGAGTGGATGGATTATTGGGAGGGGCTGGGGATGACCCAGCGGTCATGGTCCATGTTGGTACCAATGACAAAGTAAGAGGAAGATGGAAGTTCCTAAAGAATGATTTCAGGGAATTAGGTAGCAAACTTAAGAAAAGGACCTCCAAGGTGGTATTCTCTGAGATATTACCTGTGCCACGCGCTACAGTGGAAAGGCAGTGGGAGATTAGAGAGGTCAATGCGTGGCTTAAGTCTTGGTGCAGGAAGGAGGGTTTTGGGTTTTTAGAGCACTGGGCCGACTTTGCGATTGGGTACAAGCTTTATAGTGGTGATGGATTGCACCTAAACGGGAGAGGGTCTGCAGTGCTGGGGGATAGGATGGCTAGAAGGTTGGAGGAGATTTTAAACTAGTAGTAGGGCAGGAGGGTCATAGAAATCTACAAAATGGAGATAGGACAGAAAGGAGATGGGCTTTAGCACAGTATAAGGGGGTGGAGACGGGGGGAGGGGCAAGCTCAGAACAGAGAAGCTGTGTAATGTGGAAAATTCACAAAATATACAAGTGACACATAATA